TGGAGAAAGCACAAGCTGGAATCAAGATTGCCAGGAGGAATATCAATAACCTCAGATATGCAGATGACACCACCCTTATGGCAGAAAGTGAAGATGAACTAAAAAGCCTCTTGATGAAGGTGAAAGAGGAGAGTGAAAAAGTTGGCTTAAAGCTCACAATTCAGAAAACTAAGATTATGGCATCTTGTCCCATCACTTCATGGGAAATTGATGGGGATACAATGGAAACAGTGTCAGACTTTGTTTTTTTTTTGGGCTCCAAGATCACTGTAAATGGCTATTGCAGCCATGGAATTAAAAGATGCTTACTCCTTAGAAGGAAAGTTATGAGCAACCTAGATAGCATATTGAAAATCAGAGACATTACTTTCTCAACAAAGGTCTGTCTGGTCAAGGCTATGGTTTTTCCAGTGGTCATGTATGGATGTGAGAGTTGGACTGTGAGGAAAGCTGAGCACCGAAAAATTAATGCTTTTGAACTATGGTGTTGGAGAAGACTCTTGAGAGTCCCTTGGACTTCAGGGAGATCCAACCAGTCCATGCTAAAAGCAATCAGTCCTGGGTGTTCATTGGAAGGACTGATGCTGAAGCTGAAACTCCAGTACTTTGGGTCACCTCATGTGAAGAGCTGACTCATTGGAAAAGACCCTGATGCTGGGAAGGATTGGGGGCAGGAGGAGTAGGGGACGACAGTGGATGAGATGGCTGAATGGCATCACCGACTTGATGGGCATGAGTTTGAGTCAACTCCGGGAGTTGGTGATGGACAGGGAGGCCTGGCATGCCGCGATTCATGGGGTTGCAAAGAGTTGGACACGACTGAGCTACTGAACTGAACTGACTGATAGTCAGATGCATATATAAACTTTTTAAAGTGAAAGAGAATTGGTCACTCCACTTTTTAGCATAAGCAAAGAATGACTAACAAAGCTTGGTCAACGTTGCTATTACAATTGGATAAACTTCAGCAGACTCTTTTTTCATTGCCTAGTTATCTGTGAACATCAAGTCTCTTATTGCTTAGGTGGGCTATTCCTGTTCAGAGCTGGTTGTAAGTCTGTAGTCTGGAGGAAGATGGTGAGCAGTGTTGCTCCCTCCCTAAAAGGCAGTTGGAACAGAATGTTAGCTTGCCAAAGGGTATGGAATTTATGAGAGGCAGTCTGCTTCCAGACCCTTTCACCCAATCGTCCAGCTTAGACTTGTGAGAAGGTCTACTCTTAGTATTCCTCTTTATGTATTCAAATCAAAAGAAAGCAATTTTGAGTCAGAATAAGTCTCAATAACCAGATATGCAGATGACACCACCCTTATGGCAGAAAGTGAAGAAGAACTAAAGAGACTCCTGATGAAAGTGAAAGAGGATTGTGAAAAAGTTGGCTTAAAGCTCAACAGTCAGAAAACTAAGATCATGGCATGTGGTCCCATCTCTTCATGGCAAATAGATGGGGAAACAGTGGAAAGAGTGGCTGGCTTTATTTTTCTGGGCTCCAAAATCACTGCAGATGGTGACTGTAGCCATGAAATTAAAAGACACTTACTCCTTGGAAGGAAAGTTATGACCAACCTAGATAGCATATTAAAAGGCAGAGACATTACTTTACCAACAAAGGTCCATCTAGTCAAGGCTATGGTTTTTCCAGTGGTCCCGTATGGATGTGAGAACTGGACTGTGAAGAAAGCTGAGTGCCGAAGAAATGATGCTTTTGAACTGTGGTGTTGGAGAAGACTCTTGAGAGTCCCTTGGACTGCAAGGAGATCCAACCAGTCCATCCTAAAGGAGATCAGTCCTGGGTGTTCATTGGAAGGACTGATGTTGAAGCTGAACTCCAGTACTTTGCCCACCTGATGTGAAGAGCTGACTCATTGGAAAAGACCCTGATGCTGGGATAGATTGAAGGCAGGAGGAGAAGGGGACGACAGAGGATGAGATGGTTGGATGGCATCACTGACTTGATGGACATGGGTTTGGGTGGACTCTGATAGTTGGTGACAAACCAGGAGGCCTGGCGTGCTGCGGCTCATGGGGTCGCAAAGTCAGACACGTTGAGTGACTGAACTGAACTAAACTGAAGTCTAGATGGGAAATGTGATTACATTAAACCCTGATTAAAATGCTAGTCTCAGGAACAAAGAGAGATAAAAATTAAAAATAATTTCTTAGCTTCTTTATTAAAGACATAAATTTTTATTTGTCTCAGTTTCATTTAGCATCATCATTTTAAGTTAATGTTTTTCTGTTTCTCTGATATGTAGTTTATCTAAATCAATCAAGATTCTTTTTTCTGTGGATAAGTGATGGTACCACTATTATCAATCTTTCAGTCTTCTGTAATTGTCAGTGGTTGAATGCCTAAAATATATAGTTAAAAGATTGTTTAGGTATACCTAGATATCTGAATTTTTTAAAAATTATTTTTATGTACCTTTAGCTAAACATTAGAGATATGCTTGTAAGAAAATTATATAAAATTAAGGAAGTCAGTTGTCATCTATGTGCAGGGAAACTCACTAATTTTTCTTCTGATACTAAGCAGACTCAGCCAGTTTGTCTCACTAATTCCAGATATACTGGAAATAGGCTGGATTTTTAAAAGGGCTGAAACCTTGGAATTGATGATATAATGTAACTAATGTTACATTACAGGGAAAGGCTAAGATCTTTACATTAGATTTCTGTTGTGCCACATTCCAGAATATTTTTGCTGTTAGAAAGTGTTTCCAAATCTCTGTGTGGAAGAGGTAAAGGTAGTAAGTGAGCCCATTTGCCTTTTGGTTTAAAGCACTGTAATTCATTATTTGGAGACTAACAAAAACGCCCTTTAAGACTTGATAGTTCTCGTTCATTTGGCTGAGGTGTAATGTAGTAAACCCACTCTTTTTATTTAGAGAACTTATGCCTTTTGTGAGGCTGCCTGTAGCAAGAAGTGGGTGATTAAGAGTCTGCTCCTGTCCAGGAGGATTTTTATCTAGTATTAATGACATGTGGGTACCAGCTAGTTTGGGATATCAATCAAGTTGAAATCTGGGGGAAAGATACGCAGGGAACAAAGGGTTGATAATTGCCAGTCACTGTGAATCCTTACTAGTAAAGTTCTCTAAGATAGTGTTCTCAAATAAAGGTAAAATGCAGACTGATGAGCAGTGTAGATCAGTGGGGAATTTGTTTGACTGTAAAATAATTAGGTTGAGGAATTTCATGACCCATGAAGCCTTACTCATTAAAGTGATTCTTTAATATTAAATGAAAAAGTTGGATTAAGAGAGTCTTGTTTGGTATGATTTCCCTCTTTTTCTTTGAGTCTGTAGGCTGGCTGCATAGCAAAAAAAAGTGGTGCTAGTTGTATATCTTGCAGATCTTAGATCTTTGATAACTATTTCCTTCTGTAATCACTGAATAATTCTGGAAATGAGGCGATAACATGAGCCCCTTAAACTAGCTGACTTAAAGATCACAGACAGGAAAACTTAAATATATTTTAATTTTTTGTATCCTTGCAGATTGATCATTTATTCATTAGTAATTTACCAGAGATTGTAGTGGAGTTATTGATGACGTTACATGAACCAGCAACTTCTGGTGCCAGCCAAACCACTGACCCCTGTGACTTCTCAGGGTATGGATATTTTTAATTTAGAGAATTAGCTGCAATTTCAGAAGGTTCTTGGAAAGTTTATTGGTTGACACCTTCAAATGTCTATTTCAGTTGTTAGACATGTATTGTACTTTTAAATTCTGTTTCTTTAAAAATAATTACCTTTGAATTGAAGTATCTGCTGTACTGTAGCCTCTTCATAGTAACTGCTCTTTTAATTACCACTTTGTTTTTCAAAGTCAGGAACCTTTTTCTTCTCAGTCTTTTTGTAATATTTCAGCATTGGGCCATCTCCTATCTCATGAAATTTTCTTCTTCATGACCCATTATTCTTTGTTCTCTTCTTCTTATCTATGACTTGACTTTCTGTATCACCTTTTTTTAAAAAAGCATTCTCCTTTGCTAGTGGTATCTTACTATATTGCAATTTCATTTGTGTGTAAAACCTACTTGATTGTATATGAACGGTAGAGTTATTCATATATATTGTTATTCATTTGCCTTGACTGTAAGGTACTTGAAAACATCCTTAACTTTTTTTATATTCTGTACAATACTAAGCATGTAAAACAATAATAATATCTATTAAAATACTTTTGCATGTGTAGTTTCATTTGGTGTAGTATTTGATTGCTGTCTTGATATGTTACTGTGTTTACATGTGTACCTGTGGCTGATTCATGTAAATGTATGGCAAAAACCATTACAATATTGTAAAGTAATTATCCTCCAATTAAAATAAATTAATTAATTTTAAAAAATATTATTGAGTTTAAAGTACTAGCATAGAGCTTTAATTCATACCTTAAGTAAAGTGATACTAGGTTTCTTTTTTATAACTGCTGTTAACTTTATAAATGATTTTTTAAGCAAATTATTGACTAAGTCTTAGAAAGTTATTTAGGTATTCTGATTGATGTATATAGACTGTAATATGTCATTTGTGATTTTATTAAAAGTCTAATTTTCACCTAGAAAATAACTAAAATTTGGGGTTAGTATAATCCAGATTTTTCTTTTGAATTTTCACTGATCTATCAAGATAGTTTTATTCTGAAAATGATGACTGTAATTTTTTCTATAACTCTTAGGGATTTGGATCCTGCTCCTAATCCACCTCATTTTCCATCACATGTGATTAAAGCGACATTTGCCTATATCAGCAATTGCCATAAAACCAAGCTTAAAAGCATTTTAGAAATTCTTTCCAAAAGCCCTGTAAGTATACTTTACTAGTATATTAACTGAAGAGAGAATTCCATCTTTTTCAGCTAGAAAATCTGTTTAAGTACATTTTATTTTGATTTTTTTCTAAGTATAAGTACATTAAAAAAAGTAAACAAGTGGAAAATTTACTTGAATAAATTAATAGAAACACTCATTTACAAGTTTATATCTTGGTATTTGTCAGTATTAATTGAAATATGTCACATATGAGGGCTGAATTTCGTGACATTTTAGGTTGGCTCAGGAAGTGTATATATATGTATTTTTTATGTATGTATTTAGGATATACTACTAAATATTGTTTACTATCTGAAAACTAAATAAATTGACAATAGTTTTTTTTAATTTAAGATAGTAATTTTCTTAATGTGATATTTTGCATTTGATATCAAAACCCTAAGCAAAATTCTGAAATTTAGAATTGTGTAATTTGAATATAAAATGTATGCATTTAAAAAAATAAAATGTATGTATTATGGCTGAGTATATGTGGTTAGGCAAGGTTTTACTAAATGTGTCTTTATTTTCTAGGATTCCTATCAGAAAATTCTTCTAGCCATATGTGAGCAAGCAGCTGAGACAAATAATGTTTACAAAAGGCACAGAATTATTAAAATATATTACCTGTTTGTTAGTTTATTAATGAATGATATAAAGAGTGGCTTAGGAGGAGCTTGGGCCTTTGTTCTTCGAGACGTTATTTATACTTTGATTCACTATATCAACCAAAGGTAAATAATATATTTAGAGCAATATATAAGAAGTTTTTCTACCCTCATCTTAATTGAAAAATATGCTTCTACAGGGTAGAAGCCAGAGTATTATATTCTGAATTTTGCTTTATATATATATATATATATATATATATATATATATATATAATATTTTACAAATTGAATCACTACTTCTCCAGCTCTAGAAATCTTTAAATATTAAAGGTCTTCTCTTCAACATTTTAAATATGCTAATTTTACAGGGCCATAAATACATGTTACCATAGTAGTTCTGCTCACCACTTCCAGTGTGTGGGAAGGGGAAGGGGGATTCCCAGTGCACACCCAGGGTATTCTTCAGACATCAGCTGGTGCCTGCCTGTAGAGAGTGTCAGATCCCGCAGGTTAAGAGCTGAGTCCTACAAGACTGCCCTCTCTCCAACCTCATCAGACTCCAGTTGAAAACTATAGATTGGAGGCTTCAATAACCCCCTTCCTTGGGTTTGATTATTTTGCTAGAGTGGCTCACAGAACTTATTAGAAACCTGTTTACTCACTAGATTGCTGGTTTATTACAAAAAGAAATAACTCAGGAACAGCCAAATGGAAGAGATACATAGGGCAAATTACGGGGAACGGGTATGGAGCTTAAGTGGTCTCTCCAGTCACTTCATTCTCCTCAAACCTGCAGATATTCAGCAACCCAGAAGCTCCTTAAACCCCATCCCCATTGGGTGTTAACAGGAATCATCAGCCGTAGGTGACTGATTGAAGGGAAGGCCCTTCTTGATCAGAGAGGTGGGACAGAAAGTTCCAACCCTCTAATTATAGGGTTGGTTCTCTTGGCAACCAGCCCACATCCTTAGAGGCTTCCCCAAAGATACTTCATCAACATAACAAAAGACTCCTTTATTGCTCTCTTCACAGGAAATTCCAGAAGTTTTAGGGACTCTGCCAGTAATGGGGACAAAGACCAAATATATATTTCTTATTATAAATCACAGTATCACAATTACTATAGATTTGGGGATGTATGTTCTTTTTAGCATCTCTATCCTTTCCATTGGTTTTAATAATGATTCTATTGTTTTCTTATTAGTAGGTAACATTGTAGTCAAATAAACTTAAGGCCCGAAAGCATATGAAGATATTTGTTTCCATTTTATTTTCTCATATTCTTTTTTGCTTTTTAAAAATATAATTTTAAGTCATATGTATGTGTATGTACTTTAAGTCATTCAGTCTTTTTCGTTCACTTTTTTTAAAAAGGTTTTATTATGGTGTTAAAATATATAACAATTTCTCATTTTTAACTATATTTTCCAATTTAGTGCTATTAATTATGTTCATGGTATGCTATTAATTTTTATTTCTGTCATTGCTGTTTCTAGATCCAACTTTTTTATTACCTCAAATAGAACCTCTACTCATTAAGCAATAACCACACAGTTCCTCTTCCCTATAGCCCTTATAGCTTCTAATCTACTTCCTGTCTTTTTTAATTTCCTTGTTGTAGGTATTTCATACAAGCAGAACCATAATTTCTTTGCCCTTTCCTACTGGCTTGTTTCACTTAGCATATCTTCAGTGTTTATCCAGCATCATGCTTTTTTGTGGCTAAATAACATTCCATTCGGCATCCCTGGTGTCTCAGATGGTAAAGAATCCTCCTTTTATGCTGGAGACCTGTGTTTGATCCCTGGATTGGGAAGATCCCCTGGAGGAGGGCATGGCAACCCACTCCAGTATTCTTGCCTGGAGAATCCCCAGGGACAGAGGAGCCTGATGGGCTACAGTCCATGGGATTGCAAAGAGTTGAACACAACTAAGCAACTAAACACAGCAACATTCCATTAGATATATACCACATTTTTTTTATTCGTTCATCTCATGATGAGCACTTGGGTTGTTTCATAGGCATGAAGTGGTATCTCATTGGGGTTTTGATTTTGCATTTTCCTACTAACTACTCATGAATATCTTTTCATGAGCTTATTGATGATTTGTATGTCTTCTTTGGAGAAATGTCTATTTAAATCCTTTGCCCATTTTAAAAATTGGATTGTCTCTCAAATCAAAAATGGATTTGGGAGAATAGCATTGAAACATGTATATTACCATGTGTGAAATAGATCACCAGTCCAAGTTTGATGCGTGCAACAGGCACTCAAAGCTGGTGCACCGGGACAACCCAGGGGGATGGGATGGGAAGGGAAATGGGAGAGGGCTTTGGGATGAGGGACAATACAATAAAAATAGAGGAAAAAAATTTGGATTGTCTTTTTGTTGTTGAGTTGTAGGAGTTCTTTATATATTCTGGGACTGAACTCAGTATGTGATTTGCAAATATATTCTGGATATTGAATTCATTTGTGATTTGCAAATAGTTTTTCCATCCTATAAAATTTTCACTTTCCTGATAATGTCTTTTGATGAGCAAATGTGTTCAATTTTGGTAAGGTCTGATTTATCTTATTTTTCTTTTGTTTCATGTGGTTTTGGTATTGTAGGTAAGAATGCATTGTCAAATCTAAGGTCATGGAGATTTACCCTTCAAGTTTATTCTAAGAGTATTATGATTTTAGCTCTTATTTTTAGGTTGCTGATCCATTTTAATTTTTATAAATAGTGTGAGTTAAGGGTTCAATTTCATTCTTTTGCATGTAGAAATCTAGTTGTCCCAGCACTATTTATTAAAGACTGCTCTTTCGCCCTTGTCAAAAATCAGTTAGCCATTGATGTATGGGTTTATTTCTGGATTCTCAGTTCTATTCCATTGGTCTTTCCTTATGCCATGCTGTGTTGCTTGTTGTTGTTCAGTCGCTAAGTCATGTCCAGTTGTTTTCAGCCTCAGGGACTATAGCACACCAGGCTTCCCTGTCCTTCGCTATCTCCCAGAGTTTGCTCAGACTCATGTCCATTGAGTCAGTGATGCTATCCAAATATCTCATCCTCTGTCACCCACTTCTCCTGCCTTCAATCTTTCCCAGCATCGGGTTCTTTTCCAGTGGGTCGGCTCTTCACATCAGTTGGCCAAAGTACTGGAGCTTCAGCTTCAGCATCAGTCCTTCCAGTGAATATTCAGGGTTGATTTCCTTCAGGAATGACTGTGTTGCTTACTGTCGCTCTATAGTAACTTTTGAAATCAGGAAGTGTGAGTCCTTCAGTTTTCTTCTTTTTCAAATTGTTTTGACTGTTTGGATACCTTGCAGTTCCATATGAATTTGTAGACCAGTTTTTCCATTTATGCAAAAAAAGTGCTGGAATTTAGATGGATATTGCATTCAGTATGCCACTGTTTTAGATAGTGTTAAAATTTGTCTTCCAGTCCATGAATACAGAATTTTTTTCCCTTAAGTTGGGTTTAATTTCTTTCATCCATGCTATGTAATTTTCAGTGTACAGGCGATTCACATCCTTGGTTAAATTTATTCCTAGATGTTTAATTCTTTTAGGTGCTATTGCAAGTGGAGTTTTTAAATCAGTTTTCATTTTAGATTGTCATTGCTGTTGTATAGAAACACAGATAATTTTGTATGTGATTTTGTGATTTGCAGCTTTGCTAAATTTGTTACCACTAGTAGATTTCTTGTGGATTCTTTTAGGAGTTTCTTATAAAGAAATCATGTCATCTGAATATCATTTTACTTCTTCCTTTCTGATTTGGATGCCCTTTCTTTTTCTTATTTAATTGCTCTGGCTGGAAGTTCAGTACTGTGTTGGGTAGCAGTGGTGAAAGTGGACATCTTTGTCTTATTCCTCATCTTAGTGGGAAAGCTTTTTAGTCTTTCAATACTGATTATGTTGTTAGTTTTGGGTTTTCATAGGTTACCTTTATTTTGTTGAGAAAGTTTTTATTCTAATATTTTTCTGAGTGTTTTTCTCATGAAAGGATGTTGGATTTTGTCACATGCCTTTTCATTGTTTGTTGAGAGGGTCCTGTGTTATATTCTTTTATTCTGTTAATGTGGTGTATTTCTTGGATTGACTTTCTTATGATATGCTCTTGCATTTCTGAGATAAATCCCAGTTGCTCATGATGTATATTCTTTTAATGTGTTATTAGATTCAGTTTTCTGGTATTTTGTTGAGGGGTTTTGCACATATATATTCATAAGAGTATTAGATATTATAATTTTCCTGTGTTGTCTTTATCTTACTTTGATATCAGAGAAATGCTGGCCCCATAAAATGAATTAGGAAGTGTTTCCTGCTATTATGTTTTGGGGAAGAATTTGAGGTGTTAATTCTTAAGTGTTTGGTAGTGTTCTTCAAGTCTTTCTTCTTTTTCAGTGTAGGTGTTAACTGCAACATATTGTTCTCTCAGTACTGCTTATGCTGAATCTCATTAGTTTTGGCATGCTGTATCTTCATTTTCGTTTGTCTCTAAGCTCTTTTAGCATGTTTAAAACAGTTGTCTGATAAAGTTATTGTCTAGTAATTCTGATATCAGAGCTTCCTTGTGAGCTCTTTCAGTCAGTATATTTTATTCCTTTGAATGGCCTATACTTTCCTATTGTTTTGAATTCCTTGTGATTTTTTTTTTTATTGAAACGGAACATTTTACTATTATATTACCCATGGAAATTAGATTTTCCCCTTCCCCAAGGTTTGACCTTTTTTTTTTTTTGAATTGTTGAAGGCTGTAGTAGTACATTTGCTTCATAGATATACTCAACTGTATTTCCAGAGAGTGTCTTCCTTGCCATTGTAGTCACTAAAGACTGTTCCTTAACTTGTGTTCAGGTAGCATTTTGACAGAGATTCCCCTGAATACAAGGAGCCAGAGAAAGAGAAAAGCTTTCCTAGTCTTTGCAGATTGGCTCTGTGTTAGGAATCTCCTTCAACACTTAGCTTGACTTCCACCAAGCCTAACCATCTGCCCAAAGAGAAAGATTATGATCTTCTCAGGTAGTTTTTGAGTAAGCACCTTACCCTGGGCATGTGAAGTTCCATGAAATATGGGTGATTTTGCGTGTTCTAATTTCCAAAGAAACTCTCCCTAGCTTTTCATCCTGGGCTTTAGGCAATCTCTTATCCCAGGCAGCTGTGGGTTGTTGGTCAGCCTTATAGTGCCCTCAGCTTTTTCAGCCTGTCAGAGACACAAGGTAAGAAAACAGAGCCAAGGACCTTGCATTAGTCCCCAGATAGGTTTAGAGCAGAGATACACAATAATTTGTGAATAAAGTCTGCTCTGCTCCATCCAAAACTAAGGACCAGGATTCCACGTTAGAAACGGGGTCTGAAGTTTTCAATGAATACTGCCAGGCTGGGAATGATGTAGGGCACAGACAAGTAAGATCACCACAAAGCGTTCCTAGTTTTTGTTTCCTTTTTCTTGATTCAGTGATTGCTTGATTGTTGCTGTTTTACAGAGTTCTAACAAAGTTCATACAGTTTGCTCGTTTTTCATTATTTCTGTTAGGGAAGCTTGGAGCTGCCTACTCTGTCATTTTCTTGATGTTAATTCTGTTTTTGGCTTTTAAACATCTAATTTTAAAGAATTAGATGTGAAAGTAACTTTTATGTCATGCCACATCAGAATTAGAGCTGTTGAATAAAAATGACTTTTGAACAAATTGATATCAAAGTAGTGTCCTGTAACTTATTATTTTTTCCCCCACATTAGGCCTTCTCATTTCATGGATGTGTCATTACGTAGCTTCTCCCTTTGTTGTGACCTATTAAGCCGGGTTTGCCACACAGCAGTAACTTACTGTAAGGATGCTTTAGAAAGTCATCTTCATGTTATTGTTGGTACACTTATACCCCTTGTGGATGATCAGATGGAAGTTCAGGAGCAGGTAATTTCTCAAATCATGTTCAAAATGATATTTGAAATATACTGATAAAGTATTCTTGGAAAGAACTGGTTGTTTTATGTTTACTTGGTGTAATCAGTAATTTTAGTGAAAATAGTCTTTGAAAAATGACAGGGAAAACATTCTCAGTGAATTAATCCTTGTAATCTTTTTGTTATAGAGCACCTAGTAATTTTGACCTAATAAATAACCTGATTTCTTGCTTACTTATACTGAAATGTAGAGGTAGTCAAAACTAGGGATTCAGTTCACACTACTCTGATGGTGTATGAGATATTATATAAAATGCTTCAGTAATATTGACAACTGTCTTCCTCAGTATCCATCCTATAGTAAAGGCCCTACATGTTTGTTGAATTATTTGAAAGCCCAGAAACAGTAGTAGCTAGGTGCCTTAGTAGTGATTAGAACATTTTATCTAAACTCGGTTAATAGAGTTATCATTTATTACAGTGGGTTTATTTGTTTTATTTTAAAATAGAATTAATCCATTTCTCTTAATTTTTTCTTTTTTAATTGTGCTTAGGTATTGGACTTGTTGAAATTCTTAGTTATTGATAACAAGGATAATGAAAATCTGTATATCACAATTAAACTTTTAGATCCTTTTCCTGACCACGTTGTCTTTAAGGATTTGCGTATTACTCAGCAGAAAATCAAATACAGTAAAGGACCCTTTTCACTTTTGGAGGTAATAATTATTCTATCATCTTGCTATTTTGTATTAGAGAGGGTAGTAGTACTTTCTGGAAGCCTCTAATCCTCTCAGAGTAAAAACTGGTCTTTTTTAAAAATTGTGATTAAAAAAGCTTAACCTGAAATCTGTCCTCTTAATAGATAAAAAACTGAATTTTTAAATATACTCTTGCCTTGCAGTAAAAGTATAAATTATCAAAGTTTCTTGGTAAAGATCTGAATTTAAATATTAAAGAAGTATAATATAAAATATGCTTGATGAAATATACACTTAAGATTCATTAATATCTCAAAATTACCATCTGATCCTCTGAAGGAAAATATAATGCTTGAATTAGAGATGGTATGTAACTTTTTAAAGAGTTTTTCAGGTTTTAATCTTGTTTAACCCTTACAAATTTCAAAACTATGATCAGATGTTTTCCTTATAAATCTTACTCTAATTTTACTCTACAATTGACTATAATCAATATGAGAATATAGTTAAATATATTGAGACATAAAACTAGAATTGTAGTGATAAAAAAATACAAGTTTAAGTTTTTCTCTCTAATTGAGTATGCTATAACAATCTTAAACTCTAAATACTTTATCATGAGAGAGTCTATTAGAATTTAAATGATTAAAACACTGTAAGATTTGAAGTGAAATAAGTAACTTATTTCCACCTTGTTTGGTAATAACAGTGATAGGAATCAGTGTCTGTGGAAGACATTAACTGATTTTTAGAAATTTTATTTTACAGACTCAACCAATATATGTCAAAAGCAAGTTACATTTTTAGCTGATTTTCTCTTTTAGGAAATTAACCATTTTCTCTCAGTAAGTGCTTATGATGCACTTCCATTGACAAGGCTTGAAGGATTGAAGGATCTTCGAAGACAACTAGAGCAACATAAAGATCAGATGATGGATCTTATGAGAGCATCTCAGGGTACTCATTTTAATAACTTGGGTTATTTGTATCTGTTTCTTTTTGAAAGAATCTCTTTAAATTCTTGCTCTTGGTTTAATTGCCACAGATTTAGTTCAGACCCTAATCATTTCTCATCTAGTTATGAAAGACTTTCTAAGTTGTATCCTCATCTTGAATTACTCCCATTTTATCCATACTTTGGACCTGTGCCGGAATGTCCAAATTTATTCTGCCACTTAAAAAAATGTTAACAATTTGCTGCTGCCCAAAAGAAAAATTTGAATTCTTTAAAGGGAGGCATACAAGGTAATCTCTCTCTGCCTACTACCCCAGTTTATTTATTTATTTATTTTTCCCTAGTTTATTTAAATAAAAGAAACATTTCATTTTAAGCATCTTAGCCATGTATGTGTTCTGTTTGTATGTATGTATGTATCTGTTTTGTATCTACACACATATTTGTATATGTGTTTCTAGCTTTTTTTTTAACTTAAGAAAACTTCCATTTTTAAGTTGATTTGATTTTAGTTTTTAGGTTACTATAGTACTGCGCTTGGTGGAAACATTTTCTACTTATGTTTTGATTTTCATCATCCTGTACTGATTTACTTCATGTTTCTATTGTGATTTTTATCCTTAGTACTTTTAAAAATTAATTTTGTTTGACCATCTGAATTCTGAGTTTCTAGAATATTTGTTCTTGAGGTATATGTATGTATATACATGTATATATATATGAAACATGAACTTTCTCTTTGTATATCTAATTCTTGTGTATTTGGGTATTTTTTTGATTCATACCAATATAGCCAATAGATGTTTGTAGCTATTTAAATTTAAATGACTTAAAATTCAGTAAAATTTAAAGTTCAGCTTCTTTGTTGTACTAGCACATGTCAAGTTCTCAGTAGTAACATGTGGCTTGTGACTGTCATTGGACAGCATGGATTATAGACCATTATCATCATTGCAAAAAATTCTGTTGGACAGGGCTGATCTATTCTAAATGGAAGAGGCTAAAAAACCAGGCATTCTCCCAAGGTTCCTTCTAATTTAATGCTGTATAATTTTTGTGTTTCTAAGTGTGACTTTGCTAAAGGTATTGATTTCTCTGCACAACTTGTTAAGACATTTTTCTCTCTCTGTCTGCCAAATATTGCTGCCAAACATTTTTACATGATTCTATTGAAGAAAGAAAGTTCGGATGCTTTCATTTACTTGGTATTTTTAAAGCTCCCACAATTTAAAATCTTTATTAACGTTTTCTAGTCACACAATTTAATATATAAACATATTATAAAGAAAAGTGTTGTTTCCACCATATCTTGAACTAACTTTTTTTAAAACTGCTTCTAGATAACCCTCAGGATGGCATAATGGTGAAGCTAGTTGTCAGCTTGTTGCAGTTATCCAAGATGGCAGTAAACCACACTGGTGAAAGAGAAGTTTTAGGTAAACTATTTGGCTTAATGAATATGAGCTTTTTTTGTTTAAGTGGTCATCTTCATAGCATTTTAAAAATCCGTAAAATTTGTTGTCTGAAATACTGGGGAAATGTGAGGTGCTAGTTAGATTTCTGTTTAGTTCAAGTATCCTTAAGCAGCCCTCCTTTCATATTTTCCTTCCTTAGACATTCATATAAAGTAAAAAGTTAGTAATTAATACCTGTGCATAGCTATTAATTTGAAAATGGCTTGTATGTATTTACTGGAGAGGGGAATGGCAAACACTTCATTATTCTTGACTTGAGAACCCAATGAACAGTATGAAAAAGCAAAAAGGTTTGACACTGAGAGATGGACTTCCCAGGTCAGGTGCCCAGTATGCTACTAGACAAGAGTGGAGAACTAGCTCCAGAAAGAATGAAGAGGCTGAGCCAGAACGAAAACAGCACCCAATTATGGATGTGACTGGTGATGGAGGTAAAGTCTGATGCTGTAAAGAACAATACTGCATAGGAATCTGGAATGTTAGGTCCATGAATCAAGGTAAATTGGAAGTGGTCAAACAGGAGATGGCAACAGTGAACATTGGCATTTTAAGAATCAGTAAACTAAAATGGACTGGAATGGCGAATTTAATTTGGATGACCGTTATATCTACTACTATGGGCAAGAATCCCTTAGAAGAAATGGAGTAGCCCTCATAGTCAACAGGGCTTCCTGGGTGGCTCAGCTGGTAAAGAATCCACCTGCAATGCAGGAGGCCTGGGTTCAGTCTCGGTTGGGAAGATCCCCTGGAGAAGGGAGAGGCTACCCACTGCAGTATTCTGCCCTGGAGAATTCCATGGACTATACAGTCTATGGGGTTGTAAAGAATCAGACACGACTGAGCAACTTTCACTTTCTCTCATAGTCAACAAAGAGTCTGAAATGCTGTACTCGGGTGCAGACTCAAAAGTGGCAGATGATCTCTGTTCATTTCCAAGGAAAACCATTCCATATCACAGTAATCCAACTCTATGCCCCAACCACTAATACCAGAGAAGCTGAGGTTGAATGGTTCTATGAAGGTCTAGAAGACTTTCTAGAACTAACACCCAAAAAAAGATGTCCTTTTCATCATAGGGGACTGGAATGCAAAAGTAGGAAGTCAAGAGATACCTGGAGTAACAGGCAAATTTGGCCTTGGAGTACAAAATGAAGCAGGGCAAAGGCTAACAGAGTTTTGTGAAGATAATGCACTGATCATAGCAAGTACCGTCTTCCAACAACACTAGAGACAACTCTACACATGGACATCACCAAATGGTCAATACTGAAATCAGATTGATTATATTCTTTGCAGCAGAAGATGGAGAAGCTCTATACAGTCAGCAAAAAGACCAGGAGCTGACTGTGGCTCAGATCATGAACTCCTTATTGCAAAATTCAGACTTAAATTGAAAATCTATAGGAAAGCTACTATCAGAAAGATAATAAGTGGATTCAGCAAAATTACACTATAGAAGATCAACATGCAGAATTCATTTGTGTTTCCATACACCAGCAGTGAACAATATAAAATGGAAATTCCATTCCATTTATAGTTCCATTTATAATAGCACTTAAGAAAATTACATACCTAGGGTAATTTTAGTTAAGGAGGTGAAAGACTTATATACATTCTGTTTTTTAGAAGTAAGTCACTAAGTACAGGCAACACTCAAGAGAGGAATAGGCTCCACCTTTTGAAAAGAGAACTATCAATAATTTTTTAACATATTTTATTAAATACTATAATGACAGGGGAAGAACATGAGGCAGCCCTCTGGCATCCTGAAAACATCGGTCTTCATTTGGGTATTGATAATATAGGTGGAAAGAAAATATATGTGCCTGCATATATATGTGAATTTTCACTGAACTGAGTGTAAGATTTATGGACTTTATGTAATACCTCAAGAAAAAGTGGATACATACAGCGGCTATTGGAGAAGGAAATGGCAACCCATTCCAGTATTCTTGCCTGGAGAATCCCCTGGGCAAAGGACCCGGTTGGCTGCTGTCCATGGGGTTGCAGAGTTGGACACAACTGAAGCGACTTAGCATGCATGCATGCATTGGAAAAGGAAATGGCAACCCACTCCAGTATTCTTGCCTGGAGAATCCCCTGGGCAGAGGACCCGGTTGGCTGCTGTCCATGGGGTCGCAGAGTTGGACACAACTGAAGCGACTTAGCATGCATGCATGCATTGGAAAAGGAAATGGCAACCCACTCCAGTATTCTTACCTGGAGAATCCGTTGGACAGAGGAGCCTGGTGGGCTGCTGTCTATGGCTTCACACAGAGTCGGACATGACTGAAGCTACTTAGCATGCATCCATGCACAGTGGCTATATTTAGACTTTCCTTAATGTCCACATTTTACTAGTTAGTCTATCTCTTGGATATGATTTTATAGGGGAAATATTACCCACATGGATGATATGTAAAGGAAATGATACAGTATTTTGTAGCTCCTTTAATCTACTCAGCATCTATGAGGAAGCACTTAAATGTCAAAGGATGACAAAAACATATTTTTGAAATTAGAAAATTTCTGTTTTATATGTGATCTCTTAGCTATAACTTTACTGAATTGGAATTTCTGTATGTAGAGGCTGTTGGAAGCTGCTTGGGAGAAGTGGGTCCTATAGATTTCTCTACAATAGCTATACAACATAGTAAAGATACATCTTATACCAAGGCTCTTGAATTATTTGAAGATAAAGAACTTCAGTGGACCTTCATAGTGCTGACTTACCTGAATAATACTCTGGTAGAAGATTGGTGAGTATTTAATGATACCTTGTGTCTGATAGCTCTTCCTCAATTTGACTTTCAAGATTGATACCTCATATAAATTAACATTTCCAGTAACTAAAGCTTTCTCCTTTAAGTTGCCATACTTTTGGTCTTAAGTATTTAGTCAAAATCATTGTATTTTTATTAATTCACATAATTATTAAAACCCTATGTGCCAGGTGCTTGTTATCATGATATATATACCAGACAAGGTGCATGTTAAATTTTAGTGAGAGTGAAATTAAAAAGTCGCTCAGTCCTGTCTGACTCTTTGCAATTCCATGGAATAGGCCATGGAATTCTCCAGGCCAGAATACTGGAGTGGGTAGCTGTTCCCTTTTCCAGGGGATCTTCCCAACCGAGGGATCGAACCCAAGTCTCACGCATTGCAGGCAGATTCTTTACTAGCTGAGCCACCAGGGAAGAGTAGACTAGACAAATAAACAATGCAAAGCTACCCAGTGGTTCCACGGAAAGCATTAAGATAGGGGAATATAAATGGGGATATTTTGGGCACTTGTTAAAATCAAAGGTACCACTCTCCTGTCAGCTAGAAGTTTTGATCTTTTTTTTAAAAAAAAAGTTTTATTTTATATGGAAGTATGATGGATTAACAGTGTTGTGATAGTTTCAGGTGGACAGCAGAGGGGCTCGGCTCTGCTATATCCATCCTCTCCCAAACTCACCTTCCATCCAGGCTGCCACATGGCATTGAGCAGAGCTCCCCGTGCTATGTGTACATAGATCCTTGTTGGTTATCCACTTTAAATATAGTAGTGTATACACACTATACACGTCAATCCCAAACTCCCCACCTCTCTCCTTCAGCCTTCCCCCTTGACAGCCATAAATTCCTTCTCCAAGGCTGTGAGTCTGTTTCTCTTTTATAAACAAGTTCATTTGTATCCTTTTACAATAAGTCATGGACTGGGAATTACAACTCCAAAAGTTCTAAGTTAATCAGACAGGGCTTTCTTTTTCCCACTAATGCTCAATACAGAACAAAATGACAACAGTATAATTTCAGCTTGCTGATTATGAGATTACTTTTGCTTTCTCATCCCCTCCCCATTTATCTATTTGAAGTTATCTATTTATTATTTACAGACCCTTGAACAATGTGTGCATAAGGATGCTTTGCTTAGTGGAAAATTCATGTGTACTTAACAGTTGGGGCTCTCTATCCATGGTTCTGTATCTGAGGAGTCAACCAACTGCAGATGGTATAATACTGTAGTATTTACTATTGAAAAAACTTTGTGTATAAGTGGATCTATACAGTTCAAACCCTTGTTGTTCAAAGGTCAAATGGATTTATTTTTTATATATTTGAGCACTTCATCACCACCATTTTTGGGGACTGGGTTCAAACGATTTTTGCCCACAATTGGGCATGTTTCTAAGGTAAATAGGGTTTCCCAGGTAGCCCAATGGTAAAGAATCCGCCTGCCAATGCAGGAGAAGCAAGAGATGCGGGTTTGATCCCTTGATCAGGAAGATCCCCTGGAGAAGGAAATGACAACCTGCTCCAGTCTTCCTGCCTGGGAAATCCTGTGGACAGAGGAGGCTGGTGGGCTACGGTCCATGGAGTTGCAAAGAGTTGGACATGACTGAGCAGGCTTGTACTCCCACAGTATGGTAAAAAGGTGTTTTGCATCTGTTTCCCTGTAACACCCTCTCCTCTTGGGGAATAAATGACTGGCAATAGTGTCTACTTGCTATGTTTTCATTGTTGATTTTAAGGACATGTATCTTTCTCTCTTTTATTGTTGTTGTTACAGTGAAAGGGCTGGCATGGTTTCTTTCCCAACATTTTGTTAGAAAAATTTGCAAGCATACAGCAAAATTGAAAGAATTTTGCAGTAAATACCCATATAATTGCCACCTAGATTTTTACTATATTCTACCATTATTATCCTTATTTTATCACATTAACCATTCTATTAATTTTTTCATTCATCTCATTCTAAAAAATGTGTTTCAAAGTGTATCTGATACAGATTTTGAAGAGATTTTCTACAGAAAATTTGCAAGCTTTGTGTTTCACTTGTTACACAGTAATTTGCAATTGATTTTTTCAGAAAAAGGTGCACAAAAATACTAGTGTGACTTAAACTTGAGAACCATAGGGAATAGGTACAGTTTGTTTTTCCTGTCTTTTTTGTAAGAGGAAAAAAATCATTGCATGTTTGAGGGACCTCAGGTATACAAAGGGATGTTGACCAAGGAATTCACAGAATCATGGACGGCTTCTGTGAGGAAATGTCATTTAGTGGATCTGGGTGTTCAGGAATTAACTGGAAGATGATTAGGAATAAAACATTCCAGGCAGGGAATAGCTAGAGTAGAAATAAGCTTCATATGTTTGAGGATCAGAGAAAGCCTGGTGTGGAAGAAGATAACGTGAAATGAAATTAGAAAGGTCAGACTAATTCTGATTAATAAATTTGGATTTTATTTGAAATACATAAGGAAGCTATGGAATTTTAAGCAGAGTAGTCATGATGCAACTAATTCTTTTACTGTGACTTTTATATGGCAAATGGCTTGTAATAGGGCAAAAATGGAAATAGGAAGCCTGATTATGAAACTGTTGCAGTAGTCCAGAGGAAAGGTGGCAGAAGGCAGGCTTCCCCGCTGGCTCAAATGATAAAGAATTTGCCTGCAATGTGAGATACCCAGGTTCGATCCCTGGGTCAGGAAGATCCCTTGGAGAAGGAAATGGCAACCTACTCCAGTATCTTTGCCAGGAGAATTCATGGACAGAGGAGCCTGGTGGGCTGTGGTCCATGGGGATCACAAAGAGTTGGATAAGACTTTCACTTTAGTGAAGATGAAATGGAACCTGGGGATATTTTTAATGCAGAAGCAGCAGGACCTGCTGGTGAATTGAATTTGGAGAAGACACGGGAAGACAGCAGAATGAAGGATGAATTCAAGTTTAGGGTTTATGCTTCTATGTCTTAAATTGAGACTCCTAAAAGGACTTAAGCCTTTACTTGATAGCTCATTATCATATATAGTATCAGGCTTTGTGGCATTTTATGTCAGCTATTATATTTTCAGTACTGTTGTATTTCTGTCCCCTTTTTCTTAATTTTTTGAAAAAGAGCAGGACTTTTGATTTTTTATTAGAGATTATAGATGTTTTACCTAATAATTCCAACTAGCTTTTCACTTACTGTTTGTTTACAATTGTTCTAGACAATAATTTCATCATTTGTAGGGAAATTCCATTCTCTGTTACCCCAAATTATTTGTTCCTCATAGAGAAAATGTTATCAAAATATTTTTTTGTGGGTAAGTAGTATTCTGTCGTTCTATTCCTCATTAGTCAATGTTATTTTCAAGTATTTCTTTTTATGAGACTTTTTAATTTATAGTAAGTCGTAAACTTTCTTATAGTGAATGAAAGGAATTGCTGTGATAGTGATCAGTAACTCAGGTTTACTAAAGGAATATTAAAAAGTGCTTTGGTAATTGTTGTTTGATGTTACACAATTTCATAGATATAAAATTTCTCAATAAATGCAAAGGTTTCCTAATATAATTTAAGGTTTTACTTTTTTCATAAGGAGTTGCTTCACATTCATCAAGATTAATATTGATATACTTTGTGGCATTTGAATTATATGTGTTTTTCAGTGTCAAAGTGCGAGCGGCAGCTGTTACCTGTTTGAAAAGCATTTTAACCACAAAAACTGGACATAGTTTCTGGGAGATTTACAAGGCAACAGCTGATCCCATGCTGATCTATCTACAGCCTTTTAGAACATCAAGAAAAAAGGTCTCTCAAGTAATGAATGTTATTGTTCTATAGAATGTTATGTTCTATATCTAGAACAGTTCTATTTGCTGTGGACTGTGAATGTCATATTGCTTAATTATGCTAACACTTAGCGTTTTTTGGAAATAATTTCATCTATAATTTGAATCTATATTTTTAGTTACGGCAGTGTGGAAAAGTTGAGTGAGGTAGCCTAGAGAAATTATGGTTGACTTGGGGGGGCATATGAAGAGTTCTTAATGACAGGCTTTTTTTTCAAGGAGTGGAAAACCACTTTCTTTGATCAGACACAAGCCATTGCTCCTGGTGTGGTTTATAGGTATTGTGATAATGAGTTAATGTGAAATTTAAGATGACCTATAGATTTCTCCCTTTTTCATGTTGATGTCAGACATAACAAGGTTCCACTGAAAGGACTCTATGAAAGATACTTAAGAACTCTAACTTCTTTTTTAACCTAAGCATTTTTAATATTTTCTTTTCATGAAGCAACTGAGAAATATGCTGCTGATTTTTCACCAATTTAACTTCAGTAACATAATGTATCATAAATATAATTTTGGTCTTAATGAAATTATTGGCAGTATAAACTTATTAATCAGTCCTGAATATTATAAATTATAAAGTTATAAGTAATATTATAAATTATAAACTGTTATAAAGGAAATCAGTCCTGAATATTCATTGAAAGGACTGGTGCTGAAGCTGAAGCTCCAGTACGTTGATGTGAAGAACTGACTCATTGGAAAAGACCGCAATGCTGGGAAAGATTGAAGGCAGGAGGATGAGGTTGAGATGGTTGGATGGCATCACCAGCTCGATGGACATGAGTTTGGGCAAGCTCCAGGAGTTGGTGATGTACAGGGAGGTCTGGCGTGCTGCAGTCCATGGGGTCGCAAAAAGTCATACACAACTGAGGAACTGAACTGAACTGAATATTGTAACCTGTAAAACATTGTAGTTTTAAGATTTTAAAATTTCATTTCATCCTGAAATCAGTTCTGTATGGTAGATTTGGACTGGTTCCATACATGAGGCAGAGAGTCTGTGATTTAACAGACCGCTGATAAACTGAGAGCAGGAGTTTCCTCCTGTTTAGATCAGTAAATTTTCACCAGATTCTGCCTTTCATAAGCATAATTGTATTTTAATTTTAAAAAGCAATTGATGCCTCTAGATTTAGTTTTAACTGTATTTAGTTTTATTTGGAAACATGTTTGTTTATGCCTAGATATTTGTTTGGCCTAGGAAAGATGAAATGTGTTTCTGGTTACGATATTTATGTTTTCTGATCACTTTCTTCTAGTTTTTAGAAGTACCAAGACTTGACAAAGAAAGTCCTTTAGAAGGCTTGGATGATACAAGCCTGTGGATTCCTCAAAGTGAAAATCATGACGTTTGGTTAAAGACACTGACTTGTGCTTTTTTGAATAGTGGTGGCACACAAAGTGAAGTTCTTCAGTTATTAAAGCCAATGTGTGAGGTAAGATTAGTCTGACTCATACCATTTCTACTTCTGTTTTTTAATTTGAGCTTTCTCATCATAATTTTCTTTGCTTGTCCCATTCCATTTTGCTTTTTTGTTCATGTTCGTGGCCTGTATATAAAAAAAGAGTTCTGTGTACTGCACATCACCTTCATGCAGAATAACATACTCAGCTGTTGTGAACCCATTCAACAGAGCATCATTTTATATAGCACTTTTCAGCTGTGACGTAGCTACATTTTAGATGAGTTCTAAGGGGGTGTCATGAATAACATGTTACTAATAATAGTTAAAATACAGATGATTAAAAATTATTTGTGTTAACCAAAGGTCAGTTCTAACTTTAGATTTACTTCTATGTCATTAACTTTCTGTGACGGTTTTTTTTTTTAATTTTTATTGAATATAATTGGTTTACAATGTTTATGTTGATCTCTGCTGTACAGCAAAGTGAACCAGTTATACGTGTACCCACTCTTCTTTAGATTCTTTTCCCATATGGGTCTTTAAAGAGTATTAAGAAGAGTTCCCTGTGCTATACAATAGGTCCTTATTAATTATCTATTTTATATATAGTACTGTGTGTATGTAGTCCCAGTTTCCCATTATATACCCACCCCCTGTCCTGGAACTGTCCTTTATATTCTACATCTGTGACTCTGTGACTCTGTTTCTATTTTGTAAATAAGTTCATGTGTGCCATTTTTTTAGATTCTACATAAGAGCTATGTTGTATGATATTTACCTTTCTCTGACTTAAGTCACTCAGTCTGACAATCTTTGGGTCCATCCAGGTTGCTGCAAATGTCATTATTTTGTTCTTTTTATAGCCAAGTAAAATTCTGTTGTATATATATGTACCACACATTCTTTATCTGTTCCTCTGTTGATAGACATTTAGGTTGCTTCCATGCCCTGGCTGTTGTAAATAATGCTGCAGTGAACGTTGAGGTGCATGTGTTGTTTCTAATTATGGTTTTCTCTGGATATATATGTCCAGGAGTGGGATTGCAGGATCATATGGTAGCTCTATTTTTAGTTTTTTAAGGAGCCTCCATACTATTCTCCATGTTGACTGTACCACTATATTCCCCCCAATAGTGTAGGAGGCTGCGCTTATTGTTTGTACATTTTTTGTACAAACGGCCGCACTTATTGTTTGTACATTTTTTGATGATGGCCATCCTGACTGATTGAGGTGATACCTCATTAGTTTTGATTTGCATTTCTCTAATAATTAGTGATGTTGAGCATCTTTTCATCTGCTTTTTGGCATGTCTTGCGACCCCATGGACTGTAGCCTATCAGGTTTCTCCGTCCATGGGATTTTCCAGGCAAGAGTACTGGAGTGGGTTGCCATTTCCTTCTCCAAGGGATCTTCCTGCCCCATGGATTGAACCCAGGTCTCCCGCGTTGCAGGCAGACGCTTTACTCTCTGAGCTACCAGGGAAGCCCCAATAATTAGTGATGTTGAGCATCTTTTCATCTGCTTTTTGGCGTGTCTTTGGTATGTCTTTGGAGAAATGTCTATTTAGATCTTCCACCCAGCTTTTTTATTTTTTATTTTTTTCTTTTTTGATACTGAGTTGCATGAGCTGTTTGTATATTTTGGAGAGTAGTCCCTTGTCTCTTATTTGATTTGCAAGGATTTTCTCCCATTATGTGGGTTTGTCTTTTCATTTCGTTTATGGTTTCCTTTGCTGTGCAAAAGCTTCTAAGTTTAATTAGGTCCCCTTTGTTTATTTTTATTTTCATTGCTTCAGCAGATGAATCAAAAAATACTTTTCTGTGATTTATGTCAGAGAGTGTTCTGCCTATGTTTTCCTCTACAGTTTTATAGTGTCTGGCCTTACATTAGGTGTTTAATCCATTTTGAGTTTATTTTTGTGGATGGTGTTAGCAAGTGTTCCAATTTCATTCTTTTACATGTAGTTGTCCAGTTTTCCCAGTACCACTTATTGAAGAGACTGTCTTTTCTCCATTGTATATTCTTGCCTCCTTGTCATAGATTAGGTGACCGACCGTATGTGCATGGCATTGTCTCTGGGTTTTCCATCCTGTACCGCTGATGTATATTTCTGTTTCTGCCAGTATTGAACTGTCTTGACTACTATAGCTTTGTAGTATATTATGAAGTCAGAAATCCCGTTTCCTCCAGCTCCATTTTTCTTTCTCAAGATTGCCTTGGCTGTTCAGGGTCTTTTGTCTCTCCATAGAAACTGTAAAATTCTTTCTTCTAGATCTGGTTAAATGACATTGGTCATTTAATAGGGTTGCATTGAATCTGTAGATTGCATTGGGTAGATACAGTGATTTTTACAACATTGATTCTTCCAATCCAGGAACATGGTATATCTTTCCATGTATTTGTTTCAGCTTTGATTTCCTTCATCAGTGTTTTATAGTTTACTGAGTACAGGCCTTTTTGCCTCCTAAGTAGGTATATTCCTAGGTATTCTATTCTTTTTTTTTCCCTTGGTCACTCTATTAGGCTTGCGAGTTCCCCAACTAGGGTTTGAACCCGTGCCCCCTGCGTTGGGAGGTATTGGACCACCAGGGAAATCCTGTTTTATTTTTTTAATGCAGTGGTACATGGGACTTTTTTGATTTCTCTTTCTGGTCTTTCATTGTTAGTGTATAGGAATGCAAGAGATTTCTGTGTATTAACTTTGTATCTTGAAACTTTACCAAATTCATTGAATAACTCTAGAAGTTTCTGGCAGCACACTTAGGGTTTTCTATGTACAGTATCATGTCATCTGCAAACAATGACTGTTTCACCTCTTCTTTTCCAATTTGGATTTCTTTTATTTCTTTTTTTTTCTCTGATTGCCATGGCTAGGACTTCCAAAACTATGCTGAATAAAAATGGTGAGAGTGAACATCCTTGTCTTGTTTCTGATCTTAGAGAAAATGTTTTCAGTTTTTCACCATTGAGTGTAATGTTAGTTTTGGCTTTGTCTTACGTGGCCTTGTTGAGGTAGGTTCCCTCTATTCCTGCTTTCTGGAGAGTTTTTTTTTTTTTTTTCTTAAATCATAAATGGATGTCAGAAGCTTTTTCTGCATCAAATCTGTGACATGCTTTCTTTGTTCAGTTTCGTTGTTCAGTCACTGAGTCAGTTCTTTGCAACCCCATGAACTGTAACACACCAGTCTTCCCTGTTCTTCACTGTCTCCTGCAGTTTGCTCAAACTCATGTCCATTGAGTTGATGATGCCATCCAACCATCTCATCCTCTGTCCCTCCTTCTCCTCCTGCCCTCAATCTTTCCCAGTAACAAGGTCTTTTCTAATGAGTTGACTCTTCACATCAGATGGCCAAAGTATTGGTGCTTCATCTTTAGCATCAGTATTTCAAATCAATATTCGGGGTTGATTTCCTTTAGGGTTGACTGTTCTAATCTCCTTGCTGTCTAAGGGCCTCTCCAGAGACTACTCCAGCATCACAATTTGAAAACGTCAATTTTTTGGTGTTCAGACTTCCTTATGGTCCAACTCTTGCTTTGATTATATGGACCTTTGTCAGCAAAGTGATGTCTCTTCTTTTTAATATGCTGTCTAGGTTTTTCATAGCTTTTCTTTCAAGGGGCAGGCATCTTTTAATTTCATGACTGCAATCACTGTTTGCAGTGGGAGCCAAAGAAAATAGTCTGTCACAGTTTCCATTTTTTCCCCATCTGTTTGCCATGAAGTGATGGGACTGGATGCCGTGATTTTTTCCCCTTCTATTGTTTTCCTCTATTTCTTTGCATTGATCACTGAGAAAGGCTTTCTTATCTGTTCTTGCTATTCTTAAAATTCTTCATTCAGATAGGTATATCTTTCCTCTTCTCCTTTGCCTTTTGCTTGTCTTCTTTTCTCAGCTATTTGTAAGACCTCCTCAGATAACCATTTTGTCGATTTGCGTTTCTTTTTCCTGGAGGTGGTTTTGATCACTGCCTCCTGTACAATGTTATGAACCTCTGTCCATAGCACTTCAGGCACAGTGTCTATCAGATCTAATCTCTTGAATCTATTTGTCACTTCCACTGTATAATCATAATGCGTTTGATTTAGGTCATACCTGAATGGCCTAGTGGTTTTCCCTACCTTTTTATTTATTTTTTTTTTTAAAGAAATTTTCTTACTTTATGGTCGCAACACATTTTCATTTTTCTGTTACGCACCCTTAACATGGTAACAGTAAAAGCAACAGAACATCAGGTTAAACGACTCTTATTACATGTAAACTCATACTCAGAAAACCAGTCTTAAGTCAAAACCAATCAGAGTCACGAGAAAGCACATGAGTGCTGTCCAAATAGGCCCGCTGACTTCTCTGAAGTAGAAGGAAGGCATCAATTTAAGTCTGAGTTTTGCAATAAGGAGTTCATGATCTGAGCCACAGTCAGCTCTGAAATTAGTGTTTATTAAAACTGTAAACTTTTAAACATGACTGTTAGAGCTCTTCATTCTATGTAGAAAAAGTGCTAAAATCCTATTTTCAGCTTTTTTTCCTTAAATTTTGATCCTCATTTTCCCCTTTGTCAAATCTGTTATTAGTAACACTTCACGTATCAAATATTTTTTACAGTAGTCACATAGTAATTTTATTTGTAAGCAATATCCTGTTTCATTATATGTAAATAGCCTCAACTGGAAATGAACTATTTCAGTGTAAGATATATGTTCTATATAGATATTTTAGGTTAGTTTGATTAAAAGAAAACCAACACTACCTGGTACATATGTTTTTTTGTAAATTTTTTAGTAGTATATAGAGTGTGTGACTTATGTCATTAACAGAGAATGAATATATTAAGTAAAATGTTTTTACTCAAAACTATTGACTGGATGTGTTTGTATATTTTAGGTGAAAACTGACTTTTGTCAGACTGTGCTTCCATACTTGATTCATGATGTTTTACTACAAGATACAGATGAATCATGGAGAAATCTCCTTTCTACACACATTCAGGGATTTTTCACTAGCTGTTTCAAATACTCTTCACAAACAAGCCGATCCACAACCCCTGCAAATTTGGATTCAGGTATTCTTTTAAATTTCTCAACTTTATACTGTTAAAGTCTCAGTTCTGGAGAAAGATATTGTTTGAGTCCCATCAAGGCACTTTGTAGGCTTAATCTCATAACCTCTAAACAGAATTCTGCCATCTGTAAAATGAAACATTGTGTGTAAAACACCTAGAATAATACTTAATGCATAGTACCCTTTCATTAAATATAGACTAATATTAATGGAGCAACTGATTGAGTATTTAGTGCATATTAAACACTGTGCTTGTTGCTGGCAGAATTACTCATAATTCTGTGATCTGGGATTACTACAGTTAACATTTCACATATACATTAGTTTTTTAAAAGAAAAATTGGACTATGTTTTACTTAAACTTTTATAACTTACCCTCCTTCCATGCTCTTGTATAAGAAGTATTTCCCATGCTGAGAGCTTATTGCAGGAGAAGTTAAACCAAAAATTGAATACACATGGGCTTACTTGGTGGCTCAGTTTGTAAAGAATCTGCCTGCCAATGCAGGAGATGTGAATTCGATCCCTGGGTTGGGAAGATCCCTGGGAAAGCAAATGCAACGCACTCCAGTATTCTTGCCTGGTAAATTTTACGGAGGGAGGAGCCTGGTGGGCTGTAGTTCATGGTGTCGCAAAAGAGTCAGACATGACTTAGCAACTAAACAATAACATCAATACATTGTTGAGGGCTCATTGTTGGTCAGTTTTTCAAACCTAAATTTGAGAAAAGGAAAAGATTTATAGATATGTGATGTTAACTTACAGATTAATACGTCCTGAATATGTATTATTAATGTATTTTATATACAAACATAAACCTAGGTACAAATTCACATACTGTACTTCAAGACCAGTACAGTTGACTAAGACTTTTTTTCATCTTTATCAGTTGTTTATGCATGTTTATGCTATAGGCTTTCAAACATAAAACCAGCCAGTTTTATTTTATGCCAGTATTTTTATTGTTGTAAATGAAAGTTTAAATTTCACATGTAAAATCTACTATTGAAAAGGAAAGTATATAGATGTCTATCAAATGGTTTCTTTTCTGATGTCTATAAGTCTCACTGCCTCCATTTGAATGTCCTATGTACATCTCAAATTGAACTGTCCAAAGGTAAATTTATCATCTTCACCTCTGTCCTCTAGCCTCCTCTTTTCAATAAGGAGCATGCAGTAGTTTAAGCCTGAAACCTTTCTCACATGTCTCATTTGATTACCAAGTCCTGGGAGTTCTGTGTTATAAGTAACATTAGTCTGTCTATGTTTCTCTGTCTGCAGCTGCTTTCCAGCGCTGTGGTTCAGTACAGTGAAATCTTTCCGTAAATTCTCCAGGTTCGTTCTTGTTTCAGCCATCTTACTGTTGTCTGGAACACGATTCTTTCTTCCTCTCCAAATGAAACATTAGTTTTTCGGATACCATTCTCTTCTGTGAAACTCTTCTTGTTCAGAATTCTTTTTTTATATGCCTCTCTGATATTTTAAACTTTCTCTATCATAGCACACATCACACTGTGTTGAGTCTCTTAGGCTAGTCATTGAGTTCCATTTGGTCAGAAATAAGTCTTTTTTATACCATTGTATACTGAGCACCTACCTAGTACATTAAAAAGTCCTATGTAAATAGTTACTAAATCAATGAATTAGTCCTCTTCAGAAATAAAATATAAATTACAGTTAAATTCTTAATTTTATTAAGCATAATAGTTTCTTTTAAAAGAAAAAGAAATGTTATTAAATTCCATGTTGATTCATATTTATTAAGAGCCTGTTTTGTGCTAGAACCTTATATTGTAGAGGAAGACAATCCCAGACAACAGGAAGAGGACTCCTAAGCACATCTGTCTGTGACTGATAGGACATCTCTTTCATTGTCAGAGTCAGAAAACTTATTCCGATGCCATGTGGATAAAAAATCACAGAGAACAATGCTTGCTGTTGTGGACTACTTGAGGAGACAAAAGAGGTAAGAGACTACTGCTTCTTGAGTTTGGGTATTTAGAAGTATAACTTGTTATTGCTGACTAAATTTTAACATGACTATTTGAGGTAATGCTGTTGCAAGGTGCTGTATTTAATATGTGTGATGCTTATATCTCCTTGAAATAATCCATATTCAGAGTGGAGCTCTGGTGAAATCAATGTCAGGAACTCTCAATACTTTTTTTAAGTCAAGTATAGTTTGTTTATAATCTTGTGTTAGTTTCTGTTGTTCAGCAAAGTGATTCAGTTATATATATATGTGTTTCTTTTCAGATTATTTTCCATTATAAGTTATTACAAGATAAATTACAAGACTTTGAATACTGTAGGAACTCTGAATTCTTGGAGAAGGAAATGGCAACCCACTCCAGTATTCTTGTCTGGAGAATCCCATGGACAGAGGAGCCTGGCAAGCTACTGTCCTTGGGGTCACAAACAGTCAGACACAACTGAATGACTGAGCACTGAATTTTAGCCCCAACTATGATAGTAACACTGTTATCTTTGCTAAATCATTCAGTCTTTGGGGGCTTTAGTTTATTTCACTTATAGCAATGGAAAAGGAATAGTGATTTTCCAGGTTACTTTTAGTTGCATTGCTCCTCTTTTAACTTTTTTCTTTACTTTTGTCTCAGAAGTAGTTAGAGTTATGTAAAAAAGTTCCTTTATTTATCTTTATTTTGAAGCACAAGTTTCTTTACTTTGTAACATGGTCCTCAAAATCTGTGGTTCTATATAGTGATACTGTCTATAGCAGTGTTTATTTTCTTGATTCTGATAAATTGCTTTATAATTCAGTATTTTTGTTCCTTTTTTTTTTTTGAGATGTTTAATAATGAGTACAGGAATTGATAGAGAGGATGGTCAACAGATTTGTACTGCTCCAGAGTTGACCAGAGCTTTAAAGAAATTATGTAGTAGGCCTAGAACTTGAATAGGTAGGCATTGATGTCTCATTGGTTTGTATGGTGGTAGTGGCAGTGACTGATAAAGAATGGGAGGGAATGGTGGGAGAAAAATAAAAAATTGGTAGTGGAATTTGGAAAAATTTTTTGACCTAAATGCGTTTACATCTTAAAAATTTACTCCTCTGTATCCTCATCCTTTCCATCTCATGCTTAGAAAAAGAAGTGTTAGGCCTTTCGGAGTCTGTGTTTCTGGTTAGAAAGTTACTGATTCACTATATTGTTTTATATTGAATCCTCTTGTGAGAAACCCCATTCAAAACTATAACTGGCAGCGTCTCTTTTCTCAGTGTTGGGAGGCAGTTTCACCTCTGAATTATTCATTTTATATTTACCATTGAGTTAGAGTAGTATTTACTTTGGTTAGCCTTCAAGAAGATAAAATATCTCAATATTAAATTTTTATTCTAAATAAGGCCTTAAAGAAGATTCCTTGAGATAATATGGCTGGGACATAGAGTAAAGAGTAAGAACTTGAGTTCAGGTTCATGTTTCTTAGAATCAGTTCAGTTCAATCGCTCAGTCGTGTCCGACTCTTTGCGACCCCATGGACTATAGCACGCCAGGCCTCCCTGTCCATCACCAACTCCCAGAGTTTACTCAAACTCATGTCCATTGAATCGGTGATACCATCCAACCATCTCATTCTCTGTCGTCCCCTTCTCCTCTCACCTTCAATCTTTCCCAGCATCGGGGTCTTTTCAAATGAGTCAGCTCTTTGCATCAGGTGGCCAAAGTATTGGAGTTTCAGCTTCAACATCAATCCTTCCAATGAACACTCAGGACTGATTTCCTTTAGGATGGACTGGTTTCTCAGAATAGCTATAGTTAAGTCTTGGCAATGTGATAGGCACTTTATTCATCAGCTTTGTAAGTATTATTTGCTCAGTACAGCTGTTCTCTGAGGTATATATTGTTACCTGGTTTTGCAAATGAAGAAACTGAGGCTTAAGAAGTTAAGTTGCCAAAATTCATACAGCTTGTAGAAGGTAATCCAGCTGGATTTGAACTTAGCTAGAGTTTCCTGCTTTAATACCAATTTTCTTAACTACTGCCTTGTCACATCTCTATAAAATTGTCTTGAGAAAGATAATGTTGTCCCTTCCAGTTACGGCCTACTGTTATCACAGTGGAAGATTTTTGTTAAATAACCTCAACCTAGGCAGTTAGCTCAGAAGAAAATTAACTGCAATAGGAAAGATACGTAAATGTGTCTTAGAAGAAACACTATTTTTGTTAAATTGATCATTTAAAAACACTTGTGTATTTACTTTTAGTTATTCTGTATAGCCTATTCGTAGCCTGTGTTCCATGGATCCCTCGGTGGGGGGCAAGTATGAACCTCAGATTTTTATGGGATGATGGTCCATAGCTTTTATCAGATTTTCTAATAGGTATGTGATCCAAAAAGTATGCTGGAACTCTTTAGCTACGTTATCTTAGTTGTTTATTTTTATATATAGGGAATATGTGGTTTTTGGTTATTTGAATGTAATTTTCTTTTTAACTAGCACTGGCTACCATTGTATTCTATATCAATATACTTTTGGTACGTAAGTTAAAGAAATGGACATAAAAAAAATAAAATAAATTTAAAAAAAAAAAGAAATGGACATGACTAGATTTAAATTTTTTCTTTAGACCCTCTTCAGGAACAGTTTTTGATGATGCTTTCTGGCTGGAGTTGAATTACCTAGAGGTTGCCAAAGTAGCTCAGTCTTGTGCCGCTCATTTTACAGCATTGCTCTATGCAGAAATCTATGCAGATAAGAAGAACTTGGATGATCAAGAGAAAAGGTAACAGGATTTGGAAGTTCTGGTTTGTAAAATTGGTGTCGACATTGTTTCATTAAAGGTATATATTAAAGATGTATTTTGCTTCCACTCTCCCATTTAAAAGGTATTTTAAATAAACACTTTCTACCTTTTAAGGAGAAATGATAATAAAAGTATGCTAAAGAAATAAGCAATTCTGCCCTGAACTAGAGATGTTTATTACCCAATAATTATAAAAATTTCACAGATAACAAACTTCTGGAGGACAGAGATCATCCTTATTTTTCTCTGTATTCCCCATAGTAACTAACATTGGGAACTTTATATATAAGTGATCAAAAATTATTTTTCAGATGGTTGAATGATTCCCTAATTTTAAATTAAGTTTACCCTTGTTCCCTCAGTTTATTCAAGATCCATTTTACTTATTGACTAGAAGTAATGTAACCTGATTGCTTTCTGTGACTAAATCGCTTTCATTGTTTTGGTGTCTACCTGGATTCCTACTTTACTCTGCTTTTCCTCTGAGTTAGAACTCTCATAAGAGTTTAACCAGTGTGAAAGTGAAGTGAAGTCGCTCAGTCGTGTCCAACTCTTTGCGACCCCATGGACGGTAGCCTACCAGGCTCTGTGATCCATGGGATTTTCCAGGCAAGAATACTGGAGCGGGCTGCCATTTCCTAATCTTAGATAATAGAGAAAAGGAAAAAATAGCCAAGAAAGTTGAAGAATGAAAAATACAGTTTACTGTCCCAATGGCCTTCCTCAAATCTTTGTTCATTTGAAATAGCTTAGTGTTTATTTTTTTAACTAATTAATTAGTTTCTAATTGGAGATTAATTGCTCTACAGTAAATATTTATTTTTATAGTTAGCCTCACTTTCCCACCATGAAATCACTCATATTACAAAATTGAAATAGTAAAGAAGTGTTATATTGATGCATTTCTTATGCTTGCTACCTATAATTTCTACTTTGGATTGTCGTTAAGCTGAAAGTAGTATAGTTTTTGGATTGTGGAAAACCAGGCACCAGAGTTCAGATCCTAGTTCAGATATGATTAATTTAGTAGACTTTGGACTAGTTCACTTAACGCTCTCATTTGTTTTAATTTCTCCTTTTCATTTAAAAATTTAAAAATCTACAGTGTGATCAGTATACCCTTGTATGTCAGTATACTTATCAACTGTAGCTTAATAGCATTGGAATGTAATTTCTAGATTTTATTAAAATACCCCCCAAAATTGGCAGTGTGTAGATCATGTGTATAATGTGTAATTGACATGTTTGTGAACACTTAAGACTTTACTTTGTACAAAGACAAGTAAAATGACTAAGAAATTGATTTTTGACTACTTTAGGTCTTAAAAATTTGGTAGAAACCCTGCTTACTTTGTAGTCATTTTAATCTGAGTGCACCTCAGGATCTTGGTTCCATAGAATAATATTTTTTACTAATCAGTGGTGAGTAACAGTTCTTATCTGAGTATAAATGAAAGCTCTTTTAATTTGAGAATAAGTGATTATATAGAATGTGGCAAATTTTGCAAAATTGCTTGTTTAACAAGCAGAAGTGCCTGGATTTTATTTTGGTTAGCTTTAGGGGAGAAGTGCTTCATAAATGGGACTTGCTGTTTGCTTTTGACAATCTGATTTTTTTTTTCAAATGCCTAATGGACAGGGGAGAGCAAACAGACATGAGGTGGTTTAGTCACTAAGTCGTGTCCACCTCTTACAACCCCATGGACTGTAGCCTGCCAGGCTCCTCTGTCCATGGGATTCTCCAGGCAAGAATACTGGAGTGGGTTGCCATAGAAAGGGTAGGGAATGTTGATTTTCTTCAGTGACTCAGGTGAACTGAGACTTCGGTAAATCTAAAGTGATCAGGAAAAGTATAAAAGCAAAATACAAATCAACAGTTTACGAACACCATCAGTTCAAAAAAATGAATTGCTCTCCTAGGTTTCCTATTCAAGTTAGTTAATATCAAAATGTAGGCAAATCTGAATTCTAATTCTGTCACTTATTACCTGTGGTTCTACCGGTCCACTTCCTTTTCAAAACTTAATATTATCAGATTTCTTAATTTTGCCAAATTATCAAATGTTAAGTGGTATCTCAGGTGTGGTCTTAATTTGCATGCCTGTGTTTATTAATGAGGTTAAGTAAGTAAGTGTTAAGTCGCTCCTTCGTGTCTGATTCTTTTGAACTTCATGGACTATAGCCTGCAAGTCTCCTCAGCCTGTGGAATTTTCCAGGCAAGAATACTGGTGTGTGTAATCATTCTCTTCTCCAGGAGATCTTCCCGACCCAGGGATCAAAACCCAGGTCTCCCACATTGCAGGCAGATTTTTACCTCTGAGCCACTAGGGAAGCCCCAGTGAGGTTAAACTTCAGGTAAAATCACTGATAGACCATTTAGGAATTGAACTGAAAGGGCTTCTGCTCTATTTTTAAGCTCTGTAAAAATAAGCACATTTTGGCATGTAGCTTTTCCATAAATGAGACTGTGGTTAAAATGTAATTCTCATTCAAAGACCTAATACTCTCAAATTCCTTTTCTGTTCTAGGCTTGGCATTGTTTTCAAGTATAAATGGTTCATTATATTTTATTTGTAACCTTTGTTAGTTTTTTCTTTCAAAGTTTATGGTATACATATTAGCAGGCCTCAAAATAGTATATTCCCATTAAAAGACATGCTCTTGTGACAAACAGAAGTCTTACATTTGAAGAAGAAAGCCAAAGTACAACTATTTCCAGTTTGAGTGAAAAAAGTAAGGAAGAAACTGGGATAAGTTTACAGGTATATATTATAGACATTATTATAAATGTTAATATTTGTTTTACACATTGGACTATTGTTTTGTTATAAAGACTATATAGATTCGAATTGTCATTTGATTTTCAAACTAAAGTTACTTTTTGGACTGTCATACATTAAATTCATGGTTTGAAGCTTAGGCCTTGGATTAGGCAAATGAGTTCTATCCTTATTCAACCACTTAGTTGTATAATCTTCCAGAAATTACTTAATCTTTTCAACTTTGAGTTCTTTTATCAGAAAGATGAAAGTACATCCACCTATCTCATAGGGTGAATTATACCATATATTTTTCTGCTACAGTACTCTGTTTATTTTCTTCATAGCACTTAACATTTATATTTTTGTTTACTTATTTACTGTATACCACATCTCAGGAGATTGCTCCTTCTATAAATTTTTAAATTTAAAAATTTAAATTTGACCAATTAAATTTGACTCTTAATTTGACCCATTCTTCCTTTAAAATGAGTTTGGTCTCCTTCAGTTTGCTTACACCTCTGATGTTCTCCTCCCTGCTTTCAGTGTGACTCCTACTTCTTAAACAAAATAGGGGACATAGATAGTAAGTGCCACCATATGACACTGTCAAACATAGAAATCTTCCTGCATCTGCTCCCACTGTAATCTTTCCTTCTGTTAAAGCAGAGGAACAGTTCTCCTGCTGTCCTTTGTTCTGTGCTTTGTTTTTCAACTGTCAAGAACTTTATTTTTTTATTGTGCCATGCTTCTTCTCAATATATTCAAACATTTCAGACTCTTCTTATTAAAAACATTCTCCTTCAAACAAACACAAAATCATTTCCCTTTTCCTTATATTCTCTTTAAGGTGACACCCTTTTTTCTCCCTTCCCATCACAGCCAAACCTTGTGAAAGAATTTCCACTGAATGGCACCTGCTAATGTCACTAATAAACTTGATGTTACTAAGTCTAGCCCTCACCTTTCATTCAACCTCTTCCTTAATGTTTCATCAACACTTAACACCATCAACTATGCCTTACTTGAAATATGTTCTGTCTGCCTTTTTGATACTGTTTTCCTGATTTTCTCCTTCCCTATTTTGCTAGGTTATAGTTTTATCCTCTTTTCTGAATTTATGGAGTATCTCTGGTGCTCCAGGTACTGTGCTAGCTTCAAGACTAAATGTTCCAACACTTGAGGGCTTGATTTCATCCTTATGAATAGAAACAATTTGATTAGAATGATAACCTTATGCCAGTATCAGTTTGTGTTTAGAAAATGTTTCTTGGGGCAACTACCATTAAGATAACTAAAGCGCTTGATCAGTTTTCCATGCGGTGCCATTTCTCATTGTTTTCTTTTTCCTTTGTTTCTTTCTGTTTTGTTTTCTGTTTTCATTTTTATTTTACTGAGATTATTTTAAGCAAAATCAATTCTTTCCTGAGTAAATTTTATTGCAAAGTTTGAATCATCAAACCAATTCTTTATATCACATTTTGCTAATTATTACATAGTGCAACTTTGAATTTTCTTTCAAAGAAAACCTTACAACCTTTTTTTTTTAACCAGGTTCACTTTTGAAGAGTAAGACTTTACAGAACTTCACTTTCCCATGTACAGTTTTAGCTGTTGACAGGATTGTTTGCTTTTGTTTTTATGGGTTTTTTTGCATATGTTAGAAGCATCATAGGTTGGGGTTTATATCTTACGTGATTCATTAAATTGTGAGCAATTGTTTTCAAGTATTCCATAGTCATTCTGTTGTCTCAGATCAGTTTGTTGTGTTGGTAATCCATAGCTTTAGTATATATTTCAATATCATTATATGTTACCTTTATAACATGTTATATAATTTAAATTTGCTAAATTCATAAACCAATATTTTTTCCCTTCAATTAAAAAAAAATTTTTTTTTCTGTTTTTAGGATCTGCTTTTAGAAATCTACAGAAGCATAGGAGAGCCAGATAGTCTTTATGGCTGTGGTGGAGGGAAAATGTTACAACCCCTTACTAGGTAAGTTGCTTTTTCATAGATGATGCTATAGTAATTCTGTTATGAAAGAAGTTACATGCATACAGAACTCAAAGGCATTTAAAAACTCTTTTCTTATAGACTACGAACATATGAACATGAAGCAATGTGGGGGAAAGCCCTAGCAACATATGACCTCGAGACAGCAATCTCCTCATCAACTCGTCAGGCAGGAATAATTCAGGTACTTTTTTTTTCTGCTTTAGTAAAGCACTACTTGTGTAGTGCCCAGATTATTTCAGTATATCAGTGGACTATTTACACAGCCAGATAAACTCTAGGGCTAAGACCAAAGATTATTTTTCTTTCACTGGGATTAAAACTCAGAAGGATACACAGATAAATTGGACAGATGACTGACCTGAAAGATAGTATAGATTTGTTGGTCGTAATCTTCTTAGCTAACAATAGAAGACATTTCTTGAACTGTATACAATGTGCCTGGTCGTGAATTAAGTCCTTTGTATGGAAAATCTCATGTAAATTATTTCTCATAGTTTGCACTAGAGTTTGTCCCAGAGGTTATCATTTCTGTTACTAATATTCCTGGCTAATACTCCTTAACCATTCTTTTATCAAATATCACAGCCCTTTGAGCTCTGTCTCGATGTTTTAGGAGGAACACACAAACAATATTTTGGGATTTTAAGTGATACTGTGAACTACTAAAATTTTGAAAGTTACTTTTTATGTTTGACTGCTGTTTTTTGTTTCTCTAGTATTGTTATTTTTGAACCTTTTTTTTTTTTTTAAACTCCTGCTCAGGCCTTGCAGAATTTGGGACTCTGCCATATTCTTTCCATCTATTTAAGAGGATTAGATCATGAAAATAAAGAGTGGTGTGCTGAACTACAGGAACTTCATTACCAAGTAGCATGGAGAAATATGCAGTGGGACCACTGCATTTCTGTCAAGTAAGAAGAATTTAGACATTTAAAATTGCCATTTCTCTAGTTATGAACAATGAACTATTTTTATAGTGGGAGTTGTGTTTTTATGTTTTGTAGATACTGTTAAGCTAAATGCTTGAATAGCATAGCAGTAAGCAGTTAGTGTACATAGGCTTGAATTTCATTCTCTTCTCTTTCCACCTCTACCCTCATGATATTTTTGAAGAGAAATATAGAAGTTATTTTCTCATGAGAATATTCTCATATATTGTTTACAGATCCAAAGAGAAAGTCAGACATCCCACTACCTGCTGCAAACATTTTATTTATTCAGCTGGCACTTTTATTGGCTGGATGGTATACAAAAGACTGTTTATTTGTGAAATAATTTATATTAAAAACTGCTAAATCAATAGCATAGGAAGATAATGACTTTCGCCTACATGTAAGGTCCCCATGTGTTCTGAATGAAAAGCCAAGCACCTAATCTAATAAAAGATTGTGTATTTATGTAAAAGTCTTTTGATTATATAAACCAAAGAATAATTAAATCACATTAATTATATGTTTAATCACTTTCATAGAAAAAAATTTCATTAATTAGAACGTCTTTCAAATTTCAAACTGTTAGATTGCTATAAAATCAGAGGTATGCATTCATGTTTTAGAAACAGTTTACCCTGTGAGCCGATTCCTACTTGCCTCTGAATCTCTGTATGCTGTTTTTCTCCTTGCATACTGTAGTTCAGCCACATGGTCTTCCTTGTTTTTTTTTTTTTCCATTAGGCCAGACTGTTTGTAACTAAAAGCCTTAAATATATATCTTCTTTTTTCCTCTCTTACCATGAAGGTGGCTACTTGTCAGACTGTAATTTAATAATGTGACATATTCAGAGAGATCTTTTCTGACCTTCCATTCTAAAGTACCCACTCAGTCATTTGTTTTGTTACCCTGTTTTACTTTTCTACATGTCCTTTGTCCTGGTATTTTTCTTCTTTATTGTCCATCTCCAAACCGGAATGTAAACTCCTTGAGAATGGGGGCCTGATCTGACTTGTTTGCCAATGGACTCACTGCATCTAGAACCTGGTGACTAGTACCTGGCACATAGTAGGTGTACATCTAATAGATAAATGGGAATATAACATGTTTAGAGCCTGGAAAAAAAAAATCTGAGAAATTTGCTTTTTTTTCTGCTTGAAGAATTGAAAGATCCACAGGATTCTTCATGATTCTTACCAAATTTTCTAGAAATGCATTTTTTTTAAATGGAGATAATTCTAATTATAGTTTAAAATTTTGCCTCTTGGTGAAACTGTTTATACACACACCAGGATTCTCTGTTTTTAAATATATTTTTTTCTCTAATTTTTTAATTATTTCACAGCAAAGGAGTGGAAAGAACCAGTTACCATGAGTTGTTGTATAATGCTCTGCAGTCTCTAAGAGACAGAGAATTCTCCACTTTTTATGAAAGTCTCAAACATGCCAGGTATTGTAAAAAGAAAAAGTTATTGTGTTTTAACATTGCTTCTTTTCTGAAAACCTGAAGAATAATTTCAGTGCAAAGATTTGCACTGGTGAAAGGATAAGGATCTGATAGGTGTGGTCAGGTTGTTTTTTGTCATTCCCTTTTCTCCCTTAAAAAAAATCCCTTGTATAATTCATAATTCATACAAATCAGTGTTGAAACTCAGAATTGCAAAAGTGGGAGGAAATATTCAACAGTTAACAATTTCATAGCTTCTCCACATCTGAGAAATGAGTGCTCAGATGAATTTTATCTTTTGCAAACATGTTTGCATAAGAATTACAAGTGTTCCTGTCTTAACAATTGTTTTCTGTATCTTCATGTTTTGAATGCTTTATATGAAAGAATTCTTTAACATACACTTGTCAAAATATATATATACAAATATATATATACACACACGTGTATGTACATACAAATGTGTATATATATATATATATATAAAACCATTGTTACATTTAAATTTTTTGTTTTAAATGTAAGAGCATTCTCATATGTTAGGTACTTATGTAAGCTTTTTTTTTCTTATATAATACATTTTTCTTTGCTTATGTGGTTCAAATATATGCTATCTTTAAAAATAGAATTTCCTTTTGGAACCATGATCAATTATTTATGCTGAGCTCTGAAAAGTCTTACTGTTTCCCATCCCTTGGTTCTCTTCCTGGACAGATGTACTGAGAATTTTAATCTTGTCTCTAGTGGCTGTATGTCATTTACCTCTCTTAGCATTTAATGTTCTTTTTGTAAGATGGTGATTAATGGTTAGTACTTAAAGGCTTGGTCTGAGGCACAAATGAGATAATACACAAAAAAGAGCTTAACTATAACAGGCTAAATGAATGTAACACGTTTTTTGGTTAACAGTAATTGTGACCTAATAAATCCTGTATTTTGTTTACAGAAGTAATGCTTACTACCATTTAAGTGCTTATCATGTGGTGGCTACTTTGTTAGACTTTTTCTGTATGTGTTCTCTAACCTTCAAAATAATTCTGGAAGTGAAAAAAACTTTGTTTCAGAGGAATCCAGTAATGTGCCCAAAGTTATACAGTCATTACTGGCAAAACTGGGATTTAGATCTCAGTCCATAGAATTCCAAGGCTTACTTTGTTTCCACTACCTTATGCTGGTGCTTCTGAATATTGCTATTATTAAATCAACACAAAGGTCTATAATGAGAACTCAACTTTTATCTTCTGTAAAAAAATTTTATCTTAGTTTTCAAGTGCCTTGTCTTTTCTGCTACTAGAGTGAAAGAAGTGGAAGAGCTGTGTAAGGGCAGTCTTGAGTCCGTGTATTCCCTCTACCCTACACTTAGCAGATTGCAGGCCATTGGAGAGCTTGAAGACATTGGAGAACTTTTCTCAAGGTATGTGATTCAAGTGACTGTGTATCCCAAAGCACAACTTGTTACTGAGGTGAATTTTTTTTTCCCAAAGTGAATTTAAAAAATAAAAACTATATAGAAACCAGCCATAGGTTCCTTTCTTTTTATCACAGTGTAAGTAAGTCAACCTAATGAACTGTGACCTTGTTAAAATAAACATTTTCAAAAATATTCACTGTAAAAATTCAAGTTTTTAAATTTAACTTTGTGTTTTTCTCTTTACAACTTTTCCCCTGTTCCACCCTAGATGAAATTATTTCCTCATGTTTTTTATCATAGCATATTATATATACTCCACTGTTTTAGTACTGCATTGCATTAGTGTTACTTTATATATACTCTACCATACCGTAGAAGATCCTTAAAAGTGGGACTTATTTCCTCTTGTATCCCTAGTGCTATTTCCTGGTGACCAATTCTTAGTCAACAGTCCATGTTAATGAATATGGAGTGTTTAGGGGAGATTGCCCCTTATAATGGTGGAAAGGAAGTCATCTCACTTTGCAATGTTTCTGGATCTTTCTCTGCTAGGGAATTTTAAGTAAGAAAAATTTGACAAATTGGCAACAAATACCTATGTTCTAGGATAGCAGTTCACAAAATGTAGTGTAGAGATCCTGCAGGCCCTAAGATCTATTCAGGGGTTCATGAAATTAAAACTATTGTTAAAATTATAGCAAAATCTTATTATTATTACTATTTTTTTTTTTTTTTTGCTTTCATTCTTTCATGAGGTATAGTGATGTTTTGGTGAGGTATCAGAGAATAGCTACAATTATTTGAAAAGACTGTTACCATATTCCTGCCTTTCCTGTATCTGTATGAGGCTAGATTTTCTTCACATTCTCCAACCAAACATCATAGCACAGCAAACTAAATGCAGAATCTGAGATGAGAATTCAAGTGTCTCCATTAAGCCAGACATCGAAGAGATTCATAGAAATGTGAAATAGTGCTCTTCTCACTAAATTTTGTGTGATATGTAGTTGATTTATTATTATTTTAAAACAAATTTTAATACATGTTAGATTTTTCTCAGTTTTAGTTTCTAATAAGGTAAATATTAATAATGAAAATGTTTAGTCACTCAGCCGTGTCTGCCTCTTTGTGACCCCTTGGTCTGTAGCCTGCCAGGCTCCTCTGTCCATGGAATTCCCCAGGCAAGAGCTCTGGAGTGGGTATCCATTCCCTTCCCCAGAGAATCTTTCTAACGCAGGGATCGAACCCACGTCTCCTGCATTGCAGGCAGATTCTTTACCATCTGAGCCACTATGGAAGCCCAAATATTAGTAAGTATAATCGTGTAAATGAAAGCTCTTTAGGAGTCTTCCATAATTTGTAAGCGTGTAAAGCAGGGGTCCCCAAACCCCGGGCTATGGCTTGTTAGGAACCAAGCCACACAGCAGGAGATGAGCAGCAGGCAAGCAAGTGAAGCTTCATCTGTATTTACAACCTTTCCCCAAGGCTCACATGCAGCAGCCTTAGATTCTCATAGGAGCACAGACCCTACTGAACTGCACATGCAAGATATTTAGGTTGTGAGCTCTTATGAGAATCAACCCCAAAACATCCACCCCACCAGCTCCCCAGTTTGTGGGAAAATTATCTTCCACAAAACCCATCCCTGGTACCAAAAAGGGGACCTCTGGTATAAAGGATTTCCTGAGATTTGAAAATTTGAGACCTGCTGCTCTTAAGATCATTTTGGGAGGAATTAAAGTTTTGGTTCCTATGAGTTGTGTTACTGTTTCCTTCTTTAGCAAGCAACTAAAAGAACTTTCATTTCATAGTCATCACCTTAAGGTCATCTTCTTAGTTTCCCTGCTTCATTTGTCTTGATTTCTCCCCATATGGTACTCCTGAAGGATTGGACAGTATTGCTTAATTTGAACATCTGGGAAACACTCGGCTCATATGAGCTAATTGCGCGAGATGTATTTTCTCTTCCTTTAATAAAGAATATTGGTATATGAAACCTTTGCCAGATGCCAACATTTCCTTCATTGGATTGTGCTTTCTTTAACAGCTACAGTTTTGCAGAATCATGCCCTGTGCCTGATGGGTACAGTAGATAATGAGTTTATTTCATTTCCTTGCTGACTGTCCTCTTTGTAGGATCATTGAAATTGGACTAGAGGTGTAGATGTTCTGAATGAGAGGCCTGAGAAATGTGTTCTCATTTCAGAAGAATATTAATTTAGAAGTGCTGCTTTTTGTGAGGTTGAAGAGTATTTTTAAGAATATCTTGAAAGTAGCATCTTTAAAAATATTGAATCACTCTCCTGTATACCTGAAACTACTATAATATTGTAAATCAATTATATTTCAATTTTAAAAAAAGAAAGAAAATTTTTAAATATTCATCATCTGTTGGGTTCTCTGCTGAACTGACCCTCAGAGATCTGACCATATTGTAGGTTCCTAAACTTTGATCCTTATTTTGGTGACTTCCCTGGTGGCTCAGATGGTAAAGCATCTGCCTACGACGCAGAAGACCTGGGTTCAATCCCTGGGTTGGGAAGATCTCCTGGAGAAGGAAATGGCAACTCATTCCAGTACTCTTGCCTGGAAAATCCCATGGACAGAGGATCCTGGTAGGCTACAGTCCATGGGGTTGCAAAGAGTTGGACACGACTGAGTGACTTCACTTCACTAAACTTTGATCCTTATTTTGGTTTATTTTAGAAGTTCCAGTCATCTTGCTGCAAAATTTCCTTTAATGTTTATTAAGTCTTAAGTTTTAGAACCTGCATAATAGCACCTTTTTCTTCATTTCTGTTGCTAATGAAACCCTGTGGTTTGGCTTTCAGATCAGTAACAGATAGGCAGCCCTCTGAAGTGTACATGAAGTGGTGGAAACATTCCCAGCTTCTCAAAGACAGTGATTTTAGTTTTCAGGAGCCTATAATGGCTCTACGCACAGTCATTTTGGAGATCTTGATGGAAAAAGAAATGGAAAACTCCCAAAGAGAGTGTTTTAAGGACATTCTCACCAAGCATCTTGTAGAACTCTCTGTATTAGCCCGAACTTTCAAGAACACTCAGGTAATCAGATTTAAAACTAAGTCATCTCACTCGTTGACCTTGCCTTTTTATTACCTAGAAAATAGAAAGCATAAATAAAAAGAAATGTCATTGAGAGACACATTGCTATTATAACATTGTATAGCATAGTTCTTTAAGATTTCCCCTTTTGGAATTAGACCTGAATTTGAGTCTTGGACAAGTCTTTCTCTAACCCTCAATTTCCTGGTTAAATAATGAGAAGCTACCTAACTTACTATATGTATAACATTTCAGTGATTGTTGTGTATAAACACACACATAATTATGTCTGTCTTTATATAAAGAAAAACAGATAGGCAGATATGGGGCCTGGGGAAGGCAGTCAGAAATGCATTTAAGATATCTTAAAAATTGTCAAATCTTCAGTGAATGGTGGTGACTGCTTTTATTAGTAGTAGTAGTTATAGTAAAAATATTTCTGTTTGTTATTTTCATTTCAGCTCCCTGAAAGGGCAATATTTCAAATTAAACAGTATAATTCAGCTAGTAGTGGAGTCTCTGAGTGGCAACTGGAGGAAGCACAAGTATTCTGGGCAAAAAAGGAACAGAGTCTTGCCCTGAGTATTCTCAAGCAAATGATTAAGAAGCTGGATGCCAGTTGTACAGAGGTTCACTTTTTTTTCTATTGGTTGAATTAGTATTTACTGTAATAAGAAAGATTACTGTGCTTTATAATATTTTAAATAAATTTTAATATAATTGCTAATTTTATTAAAGCTTTGAAATTACTGATCAATGAACAAGAAATTGTAAAATGGAATCTTGAAAATTAGTATTTGTAAAAGTTTAGACAGTGTTCATTTTTCCTTTTTACAACATTTCCATCAGTCCATCTCATCATAGATTAATTTATCGCAATGATAAGCCTTATTTTTTTTTAAACTTTCTATAGTATTCAAGGAGGGTGTGTGGGAAACAAAGATGAAATAGCTACTATAGATTTGAAATGACAAAAAAATGCAAGAGGAAAGGCATAAGAGAATAAAACTTTTTTTTAAAAGGGAAGTTGAAATAATTGGGTTGTCAATCCAAAGACCCTGAAAACATCACATCTGATATTTTATCTACCATTACCTTTAATGTACATATATATTTTATATTAGTTATTATAAACTTGATTGCTTCTTCAACTCTGTATCCAGCATAAGATAGACAAATTTAGCAGCATTTGTAGGAATCATGAAGTATATTAAAGATTTGGACTCAATGATGTCCCTCTGACATACACCTACTAGCTGAATATCAACATTTTGTACTTTTGGATAATGGAAACTTGTATAACATCCTCTGTTATTAGAGAATTTATCATTATACCAAGCCCTGGGAGCTCACATGGTATGATTGTTTAAATATTGCTTAACAGTATGGCCCCTGAAAACGAAGATCATGGCATCCAGTCCCATCACTTCATGCCAGATAGATGTGGAAACAGTGTATGACTTTGTTTTGGGGGGCTCCAAAATCACTGCAGATGGTGATTGCAGCTATGATATTAAAAGATGCTTACTCCTTGGAAGGAAAGTTATGACCAACCTAGATAGCATATTAAAAAGCAGAGACATTACTTTGCCAACAAAGGTCCATCTAGTCAAGGCTATGGTTTTTCCAGTGGTCATGTATGGATGTGAGAGTTGGACTGAAGAAAGCTGAGCACCAAAGAATTGATGCTTTTGAACTGTGGTGTTGAAGAAGACTCTTAAGAGTCCCTTGGACTGCAAGGAGATCCAACCAGTCCATCCTAAAGGAGATCAGTCCTGGGTGTTCATTGGAAGGACTGATGTTGAAGCTGAAACTCTTAATACTTTGGCCACCTCATGCAAAGAGTTGACTCACTGGAAAAGACCCTGATGCTGGGAGGGATTGGGGGTGGGAGGAGAAGTGGGACGACAGAGGATGAGATGGTTGGATGGCATCACCAACTCAATGGACATGAGTTTGAGTAAACTCCGGGAGTTGGTGATGGACAGGGAGGCCTAGCGTGCTGCTAGTTATGCTGCTAGTCCATGGGGTCGCGAAGAGTTGGACACAACTAAGCAACTGAACTGAACTGATGGACCCTGAAGTTACCTACCCTCTTTGTTCTTCAGTTGTAGTTTTCGAATTAAGGATAATAATTGTTCTTACTTCATAGGATTCTTGTGAGGATTAAATGAATTATTATATTATTATATATAGTAATAATGCCAAGCATATAAAAGTACTCAATAAATGTGAGTTGTTTCAATAATAGTAATAGTAGTAGAGAATGATTATTTTATAAAGGTAAATATTTGGAATTATTAAAATAGTTGTAAGGTGAAAGCAAATGAGGAAAGACGTTTTTAATCTGTTTTTTTCCTACATAGAAGATATTTTTGTACAGTCATGATAATGAATTACATTTTAAGACTTTGCTTTCCTTTACAGAATGATCCCAACTTAAAACTTATATACACAGAATGTCTAAGGGTTTGTGGCACCTGGTTAGCAGAAACTTGCTTAGAAAATCCTGCAGTCATCATGCAGACCTATCTAGAAAAGGTAAGATTTTTGAGGAACCCTAATAGAGTTGCTTAGCATGAGTACATTTGACTTTTCATTGAAGTGAAGTGAAGTGAAAGTTTCTCAGTGGTGTCCAAGTCTTTACAACTCCATGGATTTTAGCCCACCAGGCTCCTCTATCTATGGGATTCTCCAGGCAAGAATACTGGAGTGGGTTGCCATGCCCTCCTCCAGGGGATCTTCCCAATCCAGTGCTTCTACCACATTTGAGCTTCCTCTTTCTCCCTCTTATTCGTATAGTTTAATTTTAAAAATAGCTACTTCACTAATAAATGAACATGAAAAGCCTAATATGTTTTTTTAGTTTTATAGAACTTTTTATTTTTGCACCATTCTTTACACATATTAGCTATTTCAGTTGTTTCTGCTCTGTCAAAATTGTTTTGAAAACTCAAAGAAATACTGTATTTTGTATAATTTAGCTTATATACATATATATATATATATAAAAGTTAAACTTTACCGTGGATGTTTCTTTGATCTGAGTAATTCTTTAGATGCATTTAGTATCTGTAAATATAAATGGATTTTTTTTTTTTGAAGGCTGTGGAAGTTGCTGGAAATTATGATGGAGAAAGCAATGATGGGCTCAGAAATGGAAAAATGAAGGCATTTCTCTCATTAGCACGGTTCTCAGATACTCAGTACCAAAGAATTGAAAACTACATGAAATCATCAGAATTTGAAAACAAGCAAGCTCTCCTGAAAAGAGCCAAAGAGGAAGTTGGCCTACTTAGGGAACATAAAATCCAGACCAACAGGTAACTGGGGGTCTACAAGTAACAAGATATACAGTGTTTATACAGGTATACAGAACCAGATAGAAATTCATGCTGTGGCTCTATACTGTGGAATATACTGGTGTTAACTTTTTGTTTTGCTTTTTAAGTTTGTTTGTTGGTTTCATAGTTGTAAAACATATGTGTTGAAATTAGAGAGGAGTTACTTAGTTTGATGTAATTAAATCCTTTATTCAAACCTGCTTTTGGTGTATATATTTTAGTGTAAGTAGAAAATAAAGTTAATGAAATACCTTGGATAGAGTCCACTTTGATTGCCTAAAATAGCTTTTGAATTGCAGAAAGTTAAAGACAAAAGTAAGTTTGTTCTCTTTATAATTCTTAGAATTTTTTATATTTTATGTCTTATTTGATTTTGTAATTCTGTAAAATTTAACAGCTTTTGTGTTTTATTTTAATTATTCAATGTAAGGTACACAGTAAAGGTTCAGCGAGAGCTGGAGTTGGATGAATGTGCACTCCGTGCATTGAAAGAGGATCGTAAACGTTTCTTATGTAAAGCAGTTGAAAATTACATCAATTGCTTATTAAGTGGTGAAGGGCATGATATGTGGATATTTCGTCTTTGTTCTCTCTGGCTTGAAAATTCTGGAGTTTCTGAAGTCAATGGCATGATGAAGGCAAGTTTTCTTTTTCAACCTAGTATTCTAGCCTGTGCTTTAAAAGTTAGCCATTAGCCCCTCAAATGTCATGCGTTTTGTATACTTTGTATCCTTGGCAGTTGGTTTAGGGCTGTACACACAGGTACTTAACTAACTCTCATGATGTAGGTTTATGTGGATATGAGAGAATCTAGGACAGTCTTTTCCCATAGCATTGCAATTACCATCAGAAAGTACCCAGAATGCTAGATTGGGAGATTTGGAAAGCAGTTAAAGATGATGTGATCACAGGTGGTGTTTTTTTTTTTTCCCCTGCTTTTATTATTTTCTGTTTTTTTTTTTTTTTACAATAAATTATTTTTGTAAATGGGAAAAAAAAAACATTTTAAGAGAATCTAGGACAGTCTTTTCCCATAGCATTGCAATTACCATCAGAAAGTACCCAGAATGCTAGATTGGGAGATTTGGAAAGCAGTTAAAGATGATGTGATCACAGGTGGTGTTTTTTTTTTTTCCCCTGCTTTTATTATTTTCTGTTTTTTTTTTTTTTTACAATAAATTATTTTTGTAAATGGGAAAAAAAAAACATTTTAAGAAAACATTAAGGCAGTAGAATTTTATAAATTTTTATTTAAAAATCTTGGATTTTATTAATGACACCTAAATATTATGTCCTGTCATCCCCTGTCATTTATTAATGATACTTAAATGACACCTAAAGTTATGTTGTCAATCAGTTTGAAGCTTAAAAGTAAAATAGTTCTTCTGGCTGAAGAGAATGTTAATATTCATAATAGATACAACAAATTTCTGCTACTAGTGTACATTAAATCCTGTTTCTTTTACAATGTAGGGGAAAATAGTTATTCCATTTTATTCACACTGACTTCTCAGGCGTCAAGATTACAATAGTCCTTAGATCAATATTTGTCCTCCTTGGATTCACTGGAATATAAGCAGTACCAAGTATTCCACTTCTGAATGCAACCTGATACAGGTTCAAACATGATTTACAGTGAGTTAATCTAGACTTTAAGATAAATGATAAGGAAAAAATGTGTCTGCTTGATGATTGCAGTAATAGAGGAGCATTTTGTATTTGTTTAGCTGTGAGGGCTAGTTGAAATGCATTGCTTTTTAATTTTGTGTTTTTTTAATGGCAGAGAGATGGAATGAAGATTCCATCATACAAATTTTTGCCTCTTATGTACCAATTGGCTGCTAGAATGGGGACCAAGATGATGGGAGGCCTAGGATTTCATGAAGTCCTCAATAATGTAAGTAAACGTGAAAATCAAACAATAGCTTTTCTTTTATATTATTGTATATTACTGTTCCACTCTAGAAAGTGGCAACACAAAAATGTTTAGTCGGTCATATTTATTATGTTACATAAGGGCAAGAGTATTCTCTTTGTCTCCTTTCATACTCCACTTGTTACTCACTTTCTCTTTCTTTTTCCTCATATACTTCTCTCTCCCATACATACCCACACCACCACTCCCACCCCACACACAGTCCACCCACTGCAGCATCTAGCACAGTAAAACATATCCTAATGTTAAGCAAAATTTAAAAGGTTATGGGTTTTTAATTTTTTTCTTTCCATAAAATTAACAGTTCTTAATTTTCTGACAGCTCATCTCTAGAATTTCAATGGATCATCCTCATCACACTTTGTTTATTATATTGGCCTTAGCAAATGCAAACAAAGATGAATTTTTGACCAAACCAGAGGCAGCCAGAAGGAGTAGAATAACTAAAAATGCACCTAAGCAAAGCTCTCAGCTTGATGAGGTATTTGGATTGAACATGCATACCTTTTTGAATTGCGATATTCATTTTTTCCCAAAATATTCCTTTCTTAAGTCTCAGGAATTCAGAGTATGTATTGTTGACAATATTCAATTTGTAAATCCTTTGTTGTTATGATGCTACCTAAAATTGGTTCAAAATTCCTGAATGTTTCTCAAAGCATGAGAGATACCAAAGGTATTTTACTGTTTTTTCTCAGAGTAATGAGTAAAGAAAAAACAGGTTCTACAAGGCACCCAAGTCATTTACTCTTGAGATTATTATACCTTTGATACATTTCATTCATAATATAGTGACTGCTTTGTCTCTGAGGGATTATAGTCCTTCCATTGTCTAGATATGTGCATAAATTCCATTTTTTGTTTTTATAACTCTAAAAATTTTTAATCTTGCATGTTTGCTTTTGTAATAATTTTTGTTTGTATTTTATTAATAGGATCGAACCGAGGCTGCTAACAAAATAATACGTACTATCCGAAGTAGGAGACCTCAGATGGTCAGAAGTGTTGAGGCACTTTGTGATGCTTATATTATACTAGCAAATTTAGATGTCACTCAGTGGAGGACTCAGAGAAGTATGCAATTTGAAAGAATGAATGTTGCATTCTTGCTATGTTAATCTCTGTTGTTGTTTTTAGGTGCTAAGTCATGTCTGACTCTTTTGTGACCCCATGGCCTATAGCCCGCCAGGCTCTTCTGTCCATGAGATTTCCCATTTTCCCAGGCAAGAATACTGGAGTGGGTTGCTATTTCCTTTTCCAGGAGATCTTCGCAACCCAGGGACTGAACCTGTGTCTCCTGCATTGCAGGCGGATTCTTTACCATTGAGCCACCAGGGACACCCACTTATTCTCTGTAGGGGTATTTTAATTACAGAACAGAATGTAAATCTGCTCAACTCACACACATTAATTATAGATATGAAAGTTCTGATGATTACAACTCACACATGATTCAGAACTTAATTTTTATCTAAAAAGCTTCAATACCCCTCCAGTTACTTTTTCACTTAATATCTTGTAAAGACCATATCATTTTCTCCATCACTCTTCTTTCTGTGTCTCTTTACATAATTATAAGCTGCTATAATATTTGGTTGTGTGTATCTGTCTACCCATACTTTAATAATTATGTTCTTTTTTTCTGTTCAGAATCATATCTTCATATTTAAATTCTTACTATTTTAAAATAAAAATGAGGCTTCTCATAGTGTTCCTCTAAGCAAACAAAGAATAATGTCATGTTGTTTAGTCACATTTAATAGTAATGTGTATAGCATTATCTATGTGCTATTCATACTGTTATATAATTATCTTAAGTTGTCCAACTTGGCACCTCAGGTGGAGTCTGGTCTAATTACCAGTGCCAGGTAACCTGCAAATTCATTTGTAAGCCACGTTACCCATTGCTATGCCCTGACCCTGAGCGGCATTGTGTCCCAAGTCTTTGGTCTTCATTTCTAAATCAGAACCACAGATTAGCCATAGTTTGGGTTTATGGTATCTGCTGAATTCTCCTGCTTTACCTTCAGTACTGTTGCTCAATTTGCAGTTGTCACTGAAACTTCTTTATTTTAAATACAGAAGGCATAAATATTCCGGCAGACCAACCTATTATTAAACTTAAAAATTTAGAAGATGTTGTTGTCCCTACTATGGAAATTAAGGTAATTTACCATTAACTGTTTTGATTTTTTAATTAAACTAAGTTACTTTTTAGCAAGTTAAACCATTTGAAATAGCCTTTTTTTGTAGGTCAAAATTGGTTAATTATTGGCAATTTCATTTGTTTCAACCAGTAGTTTTTTCTTTATTGGACTCCCTTTGCCCAAGACTTAAAATACTTAAAGATCTCTCCTGCTTTCTTTTCTATTGCCTTCAGTTTTACAGTTGTCATCTTTCTTATGAAGAAGTCTGTAGACTGTTACTGATATTTTCATTGGCCAGAAGAAGGAAATATTTTCTGTGTTTATGTCAATATTAATTTTTAACTGAGCAAGAAAGTCTCTAATTGTTTTATATTGATTTTTAAAATTCTGTACACGTTAGAATGTAATGACTGTGCTGTATTACAGTATTAAACAATACAATATATGTTAAGTATTAAATTGACTGTAATATACATGACACTTTCAGCCATGTCCTAATGGTTTTTTATTACTAGAAGTATGATGTGGGCAGGGATAAATATAATAATAAAGGTTGTTGTTTGGTCACTAAGTCATGTCCATCTCTTTTGTGACCCCATGGACTGCAGCACTCCAGGCTCCTGTCCATTAAATTTTCCAGGCAAGAATATTGGAGTGGGTTGCCATTTCCTCCTCTAGGGGATCTTCCCGATCCAGGATCTAACCCACGTCTCCTGCATTGTCAGGTGGATTCTTTACCACCAAGCCACCAGGGAAGCCCATAATATATAAAGATTACAGTTTAGAAAATGATAATTTTAACTGCATTGTAAAATCTCTCCTTTGAGTTTACAGTTTACTGTTCAATATATATGGTTATTTGATTTGAAATGTAGCTTCATCATGTGGATTAACCTATCAGCAAAGTTACTTATTTAAATATTTTGTGAAACTGCCAAATTTAGCAATTAAAACCTAGAAAACTCCTCTCCATACTTTTCTAAAATGTACCTTATTGTTTTTGTGAGGAGATGACGTAATTTATACTGATGACTTAACATATACAGATCAATGGAAACACCTGAATCAGGGTTATTGAATAGTTTTTTCAGCAACACTCATCTAACTTCTTTTATTAGGGGATATTTAAGGAGGTAAATTGTGTTATCTATATTGCTTTTTGAAGCCTCTCCAATGTCAAATCTCCTTTCTTTCATTTATAAAGTTACTACTTCTGTTCTTAACCAACAGCACATTGTCATTCATTCCTTTGCTTAGTATTAAAATTGTCATTTAAAATTCATTTTTCTTTAAATGCAAATTGAGTACTAAGGTATTGTCATATTTATATACTTTATTAGGTGGACCCCACAGGAGAATATGGGAATCTGGTGACTATAAAGTCATTTAAAGCAGAATTTCGTTTAGCAGGAGGTTTAAATTTACCAAAAATAATAGATTGTTTGGGCTCTGATGGAAAGGAAAGGAGACAGCTTGTCAAGGTGAGACTTTGCTTTTGTGGTTCCTAGTGGATTAGTGAAAAACATCAGAGAAAAACTAATAGATATTTCCTTCTTATTTTGGCTCTTTGGTTTTGTTCTCAGTAATTACAGGTGAGCAAAACAAAGTAGAAATAAATTGTTTTCTAGAAGCAGAATGCTTTTCCTCATGGTTGGTTGAAGTGAAAGAATACTTTTTAAATGTGTAGACATGGTGAGGTTTAACCGTCAGCCTACTTCTTGTGAAAAAAAAATTTTGTTGAGTGTTGCTTATTTTCTTGAATAGTTCAAGTTGAGGCCCGTGCTTCAGTATCCTGGGTCTGACATTGTGCTAAGTGCTATTTTAAATGTATGCGAAAGGGATAGCACTCCTCTCTTACTCTGCTTTTAAGCTCTTTGGGCCTTTCTGGGAAGTAGCAGAGAGACAACAGTGCTCCTCCACCTTAGCGTTTTGCAATGTGCCCTTAAGTGGAGGCATTCCAGTTATTTTAGTTACAGAAGCAGCTGTGATGGGGAGTGGGGAAGGGTACTTCTTTTTTCCAAATTGGTCTACAGTGATGTAGCTTATTCTAACACTATTCTTTTGTTTGTGTGTTTGTGTGTTACACACACAAACGAAAGAATAGTATTAGGTCTTAATTACTTAAGAGACTGTTAAGGGGAGCACAGATCCTCAGATTGATTTCCAAGTGCCCTTTGGCTGTCCTCAGATGACTTTGTGTGATTCTATAGTAAAGAAAATGAACTGTGCTTAGTTATTTGTGTTTTGGTTATTCTGAAGGGCCGCGATGACCTGAGACAGGATGCCGTCATGCAGCAGGTTTTCCAGATGTGTAATACATTACTGCAGAGAAATACTGAAACCAGGAAGAGGAAATTGACTATTTGCACTTATAAGGTAACTTTTATTTCTGCTGCTTCTTAAAGAACATATGAAAGACGCCATTATTGAGGTAGGGGTCTGCAAATATTTTCCTGAAGGATAACATTTTAGACTTTTTGGGCCACATAGGTCTCTGTTGCATATTCTTTATTTTTTTTTTTTTTTCCTTGATAGCCCTTTGAACCTGAAAGACCATTCTTAGCTCACAGGCTATACAAAAATAGTTTGGGACTGGGTTTGGTCCAAAGACCATAAAATTGCTAAGCTCTGATTTAAACAGTATTTTTCTTTTGTAAAAGTATACATTAATGTTAATTGCAGCAATTTTTTTGTTTCAAGAAATCTTGTTCCTGTAATCAGCTGAAGTATTTTCCCTTTATGTTTGACCATTTGGCCTATTTCTGGTATAAAAGTGCCCTTTAGAAGAGAAGTGACGTTAAAAAGAAAATACTGATTCAGTGATGAATACTTTATATAATGTAGGGTTTTAAAATTTTAAATATGCTAGTTTTTGACTAGGTAATACATTTGCATGGTTCAAAAGTCCAATAATAGAAAAAGGTATAAAAAGGGAAGCCTTCTCTCACCCTTTTCCCTTTCCCTGTCAACCTCATGCCCCACCATCTCTTACCCTTATAAGTACCATTTTCATTTGTTTCCAGTGTTATATGAATAGAATATATGACTGCTGCCACTGCTGCCTCTGCTAAGTCGCTTCAGTCGTGTCCGACTTTGTGCGACCCCATAGACGGCAGCCCACCAGGCTCCCCGTCCCTGGGATTCTCCAGGCAAGAACACTGGAGTGGGTTGCCATTTCCTTGTCCAGAATATATGACTATAATTCCTTATTTTCCCCCTTTCCTAGAGTAGAGACAACAATATTTTTTTAGCTCAGCAATATATTATAGAAAGTTTTTGCTTTTTTAACAACTGCTCTGTGTGTTAGTACATAATTATCACACAAGTCCTTATCATATAAAATAGGCACTTGGGTCATGTAGTAGCAGGCAGTGCTGTGCTGCAGTAAATAACATTGGACGTATTCCATATATGCACCGGTAAATCTGTGGGGCAGATTTCCTAAAGTTGGATTGATGGGTAACAGTAAATGCACCTGTAATTTGATAGATATTGTCAGATTACTTTTAACAGAGGGATGTTCCAATTGCATTTCCTCCAGCATTTTGCGTGAGAAGATAATTCTTAAGTCACATTATTCTATTAATTTAATCGTCTTTGACCCTTACATGAATGCTCATCTAGCACATTTGCATTTTTAAAAATTGCAATAAACCTTCATTTTGAAGGACTTGTTTTCTATAGGTGTTCCTTTCTGGTTTCATTCCTGATGTCCTATTTGCCCTTGATTCTTCTGTCACTGCTGTAACAAGGATTATTTATTTATTCGTTGTTTCTATTTCTATGAAGATATAAACAAATTAAGATAATTACTGTGTATTAGTAGAGAAGCAGTCTTTCAGAGACACTTAGGATCGTCCCATATCTGTTTCTTAAACCTGCACAATGGTATATAAACAACAAGTGTTTATTTTCTCCAGCAAGTTAACCCTACTTAAACTCGAGGTATCCCAACCATCAACTAAGATTAGTTTAAAAATATAATTAAAAAATACAATAATGTTTATAATGTGAATAAGCTGCTTAGGTGGAGAAGGCAATGGCAACCCACTCCAGTACTCTTGCCTGAAAAATCCCATGGACAGAGGAGCCTGGTAGGCTGCAGTCCATGGGGTCGCTAAGAGTTGGACACGACTGAGTGACTTCACTTTCACTTTTCACTTTCATGCATTTGAGAAGGCAGTGGCAACTCACTCCAGTGTTCTTGCCTGGAGAATCCCAGGGACGGGCGAGCCTGATGGGCTGCCGTCTACAGGGTCACACAGGGTTGGACACGACTGAAGCAACTTGGCAGCAGCAGCAGCAGCTGCTTAGGATTAATGATAATAAGAAAGATGCAAGACTGAAAAAATTATACAAATGTAACAAGAAAGAAAAAAGGAAAATTAGGATAAGGTAAAAGTACCACATCATAAATGGAAGACACTGAAAAATGCCACTTGATTTCAAATTAGCATAGATAATGAAATTCCAGTAAAAATTTTGGAATATGGAAACATGATGTAAAAGTTTATCTTGAAAAATACATTGGTGAGAATGACTAAAATGTCTTTGATAAAAGCAATGCGTGAAAGTGGACTCTTTCCAGTCATATGAAACCAAAGTAGCCTTGACAGATGTTTATATATACATGTGTAAGAAATCAGTATATAGCTTTGACATAAAGTTCCTTAAATGCTGTTAACTCTGGGTATGATGGGATTATGGGTAGTACCTGTTTTTTAAATATAGTTTGAATTGCCCTCAATGAACATTTTTTTAATTATAAAAATAATTGTTAGATTAAAAACACCAAATAGTTAGGGGAGCAGGGAAAAAGAAATTAGATCTACCTGCCAAAATTCTGATTGAGTTAGGCTATTGTAACTGAAAACTGAGATTTTTTTAAGAGCTTCTTAACTGCCTACAGAAATAAAAATATAAAACTCACTTATTAGTTGGATGAAGTTGAAGAGTGGGAAAGCATTTAAAAACACACTTTTTTCTTACTTTCAAATTTCTGAGAGATTTGTCACATGAAACTTTATTGTTAACTTGATGCTTTCTAGTACCAGTTAACAAAAAGCGAGTTCTCATAGAATGCTAAGAGCAAAAGTTAAAATTAAAGATCTGTGAAATGCGTTCTTTGATGTGATTTAGATCAGTGCTACTCAAATTTAGTAGGCATTCTAGTCCCTGGAAGGATCTGTTAAAACACAGATTGCTGAGCCCCTAAAATTTCTAACTCTAGGATGGAGCCTGAGAATATGCATTTCTAGCCAGGTACCAAGTGATGCTGATGCATCTGCAGTTTAGGAACCACACTTTGAGACCCAACAGTCTAGTTAATTTGCCATCTGTTGATTTAGCTTCATTGTAGGACAAAGTTGATGAGCTTTTAACTGTCTCCTCTGATTGCTCAGACATTTTTAGAGGGCAGATATTCAATAACATGAATGAAAGGGAAGTTTTATGCTCTAAATGCTAGACTTTTAGATAGCAAAGGTGATGACTAAAGAGCTGGGATCAAATATGTTGCAACATATTTGGGCTGTAAGTGCTCAATCACTTCAGTTTTGTCCAACTCTTTGTATCCCTGTGGACTGTAACCCACCAGGCTTCTCTGTCCATGGGGTTTTCTTGGCAAGAATACTGAAGTGGGGTGTCATGCCGTCCTCCAGAGGATCTTCCTGACCCAGGGATCGAACCTACATCTCCTGCATTGCAGGTAGATTCTTTACCACTGAGCCACCCTTGGGCTATAGGGTCACCTGGTTTTCTCAGAAAGCAGCTCAGGCTTCCAAGCAAATAACACAATTTAGCTTCCAGAGTTCATTGCTATAAAGCATGAGACAAGACCTTGAGCTAAAATATTTTGAAGGCAAACCTTGTAACTTTTTAAATATCTTATTTTCACAGATAACTGTTTTACCAATTAAATAGTGGAATTATTTAATGTTATATATTTGAATATTAAAAAATGACCTCTTGGAAGACTGCATGCTTCCAAGGCAGGGGGCATGGGTTTAAACTCTCTCAGGGAATTGGATCCCACAAACCACAGCTAAGAAAGCATCCACATGTCACAGCTAAGAGTTTTAACATGTTGCAACTAAAGATCCTACTTGCCATAATGAAGATCAAAGATCCCATGTGCTGCAGCTAAGACCTGTCACAGCTAAGTAAATTTAAAAAAAATAATAATAAAATTTTTAAATGACCCCTAAATATGAGAGTTTGGGTTTGACTTTATTGTTTAGAATTGTACTGTTGGGCCAATAGATCTATATTATTTTGAGATTACTCCAAAAATGTGAAAGCTGTGTTGTAGCTTTGTTGCTAGTTGTTCTTGATTTCAGTTAAAGGTTCCTGGAAGTACTGTATGGTATGTAGTGAAGCGGTCTGCCTAGTCTTCTGTGGAGTCATTCCCAATCTGTCATTCAGTCTTCTTGTGATCATTGTGACAAAAGCAGGGTCATTGACTGCCTGGAATTAACTCTTGTTACCCAAATGTGGCTCAGTGGTAAAGAATCTGCCTGCCAATGCAAGAGTTGTGGGTTTGATCCTTGAGTCAGGAAGATCCCCTGCAGAAAGAAACGGCAACCCCCCTCCAGTATTCTTGCCTGGGAAATCCCATGGGCAGAGGAGCCTGGCAGGCTATAGTCCACGGGGTGGCAGAGAGTCAGACACGACTTAGTCACTGAACGACAACAACAAAGACAACAACCCAAATGTCAACACGCAGCCTCAAAGGAGAGACCTGTATATTGAGGAACACAAGATATCAGGGAGAATCACATGGGGATGAAGGAAGACAGTTTGTATTGTTTTTGCTGGCACTGAGACATGGCCCTCTGATAACCAGCATTCGTGTGACTGAGCTAATTTATATCTACCAAAACTACAGTTTTAGAAAGTATGTTGAACAACTAGCCTAAAATCTTAGATATGAAAGGATTCATTTTTTAAAATCAGTGTCTTATAAACAACATTTAAATGCCGAAAGAAACTTTGTACTTAATTCTTCATTATGCCTTGTGAAAAACATTGCCATTTGCCTTTTGAAACTTGAGTTCTATGTTTTTACGTCAACCAGCATCACAGTTGAACTCTGAAATGAAGCAGAAAAAAGCCAACCTACTCATTTCTCCATCAGTCTCTTAACAAAAGACAAGGGTTTGATTTTTTTCCCCTCACAACTAGATAGTAATAGAGAGTAATTTTAGAAAAGAGATCTTTGATGGAATATATTAGGAGGTAAGGATGTAAGCATTAGGGCCACAGCTAGCTCAAAGTCAAAGATAAAGCTGGATTTTCTGGGAGGAAGGCATTTAGAGGTACTTAAGCAGGAAGGAAAATAAGTTGGAAAGACTATGACATCTGTTTGTTCATTTGTTCAGTACTTGTTTATTTACTTGTCTAGTGGTGTATTAGATACTCTACCAGGTGTTGGGGACATAAAAGTCATAAAACATAGTCTTAGTTCCTAAGAAGCTCATAGTCTAGCAGGGGAAACAGACAAACAATTGCAATGTAGAGTGTTAAGTGTATTTTTGGAGAATGAAAAGAGCTGAAGATGAGGAATCATGCTTAACTTTAAGACCACTGGGGAAGACCCAGGCTGAGGGCAGGAACAGGCTCCAATGCTGCTTGGGGAGAGAAAAGGGAGAGACTTGGCCACCAACTCCCAGTGGACCCTCAATACAAGGCCATCACCCCAGGGTCACTGTGACTTACTGGAGCAAGTGGAGCCTCCTGGGCCACAGTTCTTCTAGCTTCTTTTTCATTGCACCCAAGTAGGAGACCTTAGCACACTAACAGGCAGCCAGAACCTGTTCAGTTGTTGCCTACCAAAATGTCTGTGGTCTAGCACTGCTCCCGAGATTATGGCCCTGCCCCTAAAGAGAGGGCCTTGTTTTGGGAGCTTCTCGGCCCTGAGAGTGAGCACAGATTCAGGAAGGATACACAGCATGGGACTCACAATCACTGGCCTCCTTCTGCCTGGAGACAGTTTAACATCTGAGGGAGGATGGGGAGAAAGGAGGGACCAGCCCTCTCTGCCCTGCCTCATTTGCTCCTGTAAGAAAAGTGATGAGTAGCCTGAGACCCTTGGTACAAGGGCCTATTCTGTGCCCATGATCCTTGGCAAATCCTTCCACTCACCCCTTTAAGCAGGGTGGGTGGGTACAGGGCAAAAGGAAGCCTGAAGCCCTGATAAAGGCTTTAAAACACAAATCTTTTGCAAAGGCTCCTCTTAGGAACTTCAGGACATGGCTCCTGTTCTGCCAGACTCCAGGGCTTAGGCCTGTCAACATCTGGGAGCCTAGGGTCTTAGGATCTGAGCAGCAGTATTTTCCTAAGGCTGAACCCCACCAACTAGCTCATCCAGAACTAGCCTCATTTTGGTATCTTTGAGACAGGGTGCTGGCCCTGAGCCTGCTCATCTGGAGAGGACAGTCATAAAGGGTTCAAGGCCCAGACTCTGTAAAACCTGAGGGGGAGCCCACATGGGGAGGGCATGCACCCTGCTGTGGGATCGAAGCTGCTGGGACCGCTTCAGGGGGAGGGCAGGGGGGCAGGAGACAGTAGGGGTGTGCGCAGGCAAGGGGTGGGGAGTGGCGGCTTAGGACTGAAGCACTGAATGCCTATTTTGTTTCACTGCAGGGCTTTTCACTTCCCTCTGCCTGTAATACTCTTTCTTCAGATCTCTGCATGAACTTTCCCCTTAGGTTATTATTCTTTCAGGCTTTTCTCCAATGTCATCTCTTCGGAGATGCCTTCTCTGACCATATAAAAAAGTATCTGTTACTTTTTAAAATGTCTGTTTTGTTCTGTTATACTTGTTATCTGGCATCATTGAATGTCTATTAGTGTGTGTGTTCCCACACCAGAAGGAAGCTTTGTAAGGACATGTTCTTCATCTGCTTCATTGCCGCTCTATTCTCAGTGCCCTAACATCATGTGTAAGACTTAATAGACTCTCAGAAAACATAGTTAATAAATTAATGAGATCTCTTCCATGTTAAGACACAACATAAAATAATAAAACATTTGAGTATATTAAAATTTAAAATGTATAGAATTAAAGATACTATAAAGACAGGTGGCTGAGAAAACAAATTTTTAAATGTTGATAACAAAAAGGGTTGTTATTAATAATAACAAGGGATTTATGTACAGAATATGGATATAGCTATTACAGACCAGTAATAAAAAGACAAGCCATGAAAGAGAAAAAAGGGTGAAGAATACAAACAGGCAGTTCACAAGAAGAAAACATTTGAATAGCCAGTGAGCCTATTAAATTATACTCAGCTTTCCTGGGAATCTGGAAAATACAAATGAAAACCACAATAAGATACTGTTACACACCTCTTGGATTGGCAAAATGTGGAAGTCTTGATAAATACTACATGTTAGGAGGTTATAGAATAGACTCTGCTAATGGGTATATAAATTGGTAAAACTACTTTGGATAGTTATTTGCCAGCATACGTTAACTTAGTTGAAGATGCATGTCCCAAATGACCCAGCTCTTCAATTTCCAGGTACATGTATACCCTAGAAAAACTGAAATATATTCATTATTAGACTGATTCATAGCAGCATTGGGGAAATCTGGAAACAATGTAAATGTTAATCAGTATTCCAGTTGTACAAATTGGATAATTATGGTATATTTATACAATGCAGAGTTGTTAAAACAAATGACTTAGGGTTAAATGTACTAACATAGTTAAAGGTATTAATAAAATAGTGTTGATTGAGAAAAAAGCAATTGCAAAACATACATCTAGTATAAATATCCTTATTTAAAGCTTACAGTTACATATATATACATGCTGTGCTGTGCTGAATTGCTTCAGTCGTTTCTGACTCTGTGCAACCCTATGGACTGCAACCTTCCAGTTCCTCTGTCCATGGAATTCTCCAGGCAATGATACTGGAGTGAGTTGCCATGCCGTCCTCCAGGGGACCTTCCCTAGCCAGGGATTGAACCCACAGCTCCTGTGCCTCCTGCATTGCAGGCAGATTCCTTACTGCTGAGCCACCAGGGAAGCCCTACATACACATACACACACACACACACACACGCACACATATACACACATGTATGTGTGTATATATATATATATATATATATATATATATATATATATATATATATAAAGCTTTGAAATAAAAGTACTGTATACCCCAAAATATGTGAACATGATAAGCAAGGTAGCAGTCATCTTGTTGGTATGGAGGGGCACAGGGTCAGTGAGGAGTACAAAGGGAGTTTTGTCTCTTTCCCAGCAAATATGAAAAATCTTAGATTTCATAAAGCTGTTTAGTAGGTAAAAGGGTGTTTATATTATTTTCTACTTTTATGTATATTTATAATGTCATAATTTTTAATCATTTTAATCTTTCTAGTAAAAGTGCTCATTTTACAGTATGTTTAAGAATACATTTCCTCTTGGTGTAGCTAATGAGACTACAAAGCAAGAATACATACACTTTCAATTATTAAAGTATACCCAAATTAAGACTACAATTGATGTCTTCCAAAGTGAAATTCTTTGAATTTGATATTAAAGTTGTAAGAAAAGCAAAGTGCTAGAAGGAGGAACCTAAGTATGGTTTGGTCAGTCACAGATGATGAGTACAATTAACAGGATTGACCCCTCGCAGAATCCTGAAAATTGAGAGAAGAGCAGGTTCTTAGAAGTCTAAGCATCAGGCTAGAAAATCTTACTGTTTGAGCTCATTTATTTTCAGCTGCTTTCTTCTTATGGACAGAAAAGTAGTAATGCAACTTGAAAAAATGCTTCACACTGACTTTGATAATTAAATAATCTTCAGATGCTCTTTAACGCCTATCCATAATCAAAAGGTATTTAATCTGTAACTTCAGGTAGTTCCCCTTTCTCAGCGAAGTGGTGTTCTGGAATGGTGCACAGGAACTGTCCCTATTGGTGAATTTCTTGTTAACAATGAGAATGGTGCTCATAAAAGATACAGGCCGAAGGATTTCAGTGCCAATCACTGCCAAAAGAAAATGATGGTGAGTAACATTCAAACACATATGTTATTGCAAGATTATCTGGTAGCTTGTTAAAATTGACAGTTATCAAATATTTTGGAGTGTAAAAAGTTTTAATTTCATCAGGTAATTGTATAATACAGTATGCTTACTAGAATGAAAGTTTGTTTGAATGAAAAAGGAAAGTTTTTAAACTATGTTGTACCAACCCTTGTCAGATGAGAGTGTTTACGTTTGCTTCCAATTTGGGGTAAGGTAATTCTTAACAAACAAAATACTAACTAAAACCAAAGAAGAAAAAGTTATGAAAGAGAGAGAGACCTTCCAAGACTTTTGCCACATCACATCACACTGGCCATCTGGTGTGACATTCATTGACCCAATCAGTGATATTTATTGAATGTCTCCTCTTTATTGGGTTATATGGTAGGACTTCACAAATATGAGTAATCACTATCATACTTATCCCATTTTAAGATGAAAAGGAGTTCTGAGAATTTAGCTTCCTCCAGGTCAATGAACTAATAAATAATGGAACAAAGATTTAAACCTTGTCTGTCCAACTCTAAAATCTATTTACTTTTTCTTTTGTTGTGCTTTCTGTTACACATTTTTAAAAAATGTATGGTAAAGCACTATAGGGATTGTGATGGAAGGGTTTGTGTAGGGACAGAGGACGAAGTGATCAGTTCTACCTGGGATAGGAAAGAGTGGAGAGAATCAGATTCAAGACTTGGTGGTCCAGTGGTTAAGAACCGATCTTCCAAAGCAGGGGACATGGATTTGATCCCTGGTCTGCCCTCTAAACATGTCTGAGCAATCAGAGGAGACAGTTAAAAGCTCACCAGCTTTGTCCTACATGCTGATGGGCAACTAAGCCCATGTGCCGCAGCTAGAGGGAAGCCCTCTTGCTACAATGAAAGATCCTGTGTACTGCAACCAAGAGCTAACCTGCCAAATAAATAATAGACAAATAATTATTTATTTAAAAAAAAAGACTTCATAGAGGAGATGGTGTTTGAGGTGAGTTTTATAAATGAGTTGGTTTTCCAGGAAGAAGGAACATAGAAGCAAAAGGGAAGGAGGCATGAACAGGCAGGTAAAGATGGCATAGGCTTAGTTTTTGAGGAGGGATAGATGAGACTGAAGCAGTAGTCATTAGTCAAAAAGTGGAGGGTTGCTTCATGAAATGTTAAGGAATTTGCACTTTATCCTGTAAGCAATAGAGAACCCTTGAGAAGTATAGTAATATCAGATTGACATTTTAGAAAACTAACTCTGACAACACTTACATTTTTGAGAAAGCTGACTAGAAGCATGAGATTGAGTCTAAGAGTAGTAACAGTAGGAATGGAGAACAGGCATTTCACATAAGAAAAATTAAAGAGGCAAAACTGATATGATTTGGTTGCTGTTTATAAGTGGGGTTGGTGGGAAAGAGTATCAGTGGTGCCCAGTTTCCTGGTTGGGATAATGGAGTAGATGGAGAGGCTATTTACCATGTTGATGAATAAAGGACGTGGCTGAGGTTTGCCACATCTGAGAAGGTGAATTAGTTTGGATTTGGAAGTGATCCAAGTGAAGATATTGAGTGAAAGTTAGAGAGACACATCAGGCTGGAGCCTAATAAAAGTACCTGAGCCAAAGACACAGATGTGATTTGCATTTCTCTGATAATGAGGACTGTTAAGCATCTTTTCATGTGTTTGTTGGCCATCTGTATGTCTTCTTTGGAGAAATGTCTGTGTAGGTTTTACTGCAGGGCAGCAGTGGTGTCACAGACTTAGAGAACAGACTTGTGGACACAGTAGGGGAAGGAGAGGGTAGGACGAATTGAGAGAATAGCATGAAAAATAGATAGCCAGTGGGGATTTGTGTGTGACAGGGAGCTCAGTCCAGTGCTCCCTGCCAACTTAGAGCTGTGGGATGGGGTGAGACAGAAGGGAGTTCAGGAGGGAGGGGACACGTGTGCACCTGTGACTGATTCATGTGGATGTATGGCGGAAACCAGCACAGTATTGTAAAGCAATTGTCCTCCAATAAAAAATTTTTTAAAGGAGGGGACATCTGTATGTATACCTATGGCTGATTCATGTTGATGTATGGCAGAAATCATCACAATATTAAGTAATTATCCTCAAATTAAAATAAAATAAATTTTTTTTAAAAAGGAAGGAAGTCATCAGTCCATAGGTGAGAATTGCACCCTTTGATGTCGATAAGCTTTGCTTCAGGAAGTTATTATATAGGAAGGAAGTGTTGAAGGACAGATCTGAGATGTTCAGCTGCTTTGCTGCCACAGTCAAGAATCAATCAACCCATGATCGATTCTTCCTTTCTCTTATCACACTCCTAGATCTGTGATATACCTAATAACATATGGAGCTACCTTTGGCATTTTTGTGTTTACTGCCACATAGGTTACAGAATCATTCAAATTACAGTTGAATTAAAACAAATAGCAGTCGCTGTTGGTATGCCTCTTTCCCCTAAAATTAACATGGAAACCTTAAAGGGGTTATAGTTTGTTATTAATTGCTTCTCTGACCAGACTTGTAGCTTTGTGTGTGTATGTGCTTAGTCACTCAGTCATGTCCAACTCTTTGTGTCCCCATGGACTGTAGTCTGCCAGTCTTCTCTGTCTATGGAATTTTCCAGACAGACAAGTTTCTTGTAGGTAAAGATAATGTCTAGTCCGTCTTTTTATTGCCGTCATATCTACTGTACCATTTTCTTTCTTTCTTTCTTTCTTTTTTTTTTTTTTACTTTTATTTGCATTTATTTTCTGTGGCATTTATTCCCGGGCCATAAGTTTTTGTTTCTTCAGTTTCTTCTGGGATATCTTTTTCTTCTGTGCAACCTCCTCTTCTGGTTTAGGAACAATCTGTTCTTTTTCAGTAAGGATCATCAGTGCGGCAGGGAGAGCTCATGTAGGGGTTGATCTGACCGTGAGCTCTGTAAGTCCTGCGCCGCATCCTGGGGGCTTTGTTCACTTGGATGTGCTCAGTGACCAGAGAATCTACATCTAAGCCCTTAAGTTCAGCATTACTCTCTGCATTTTTGAGCATGTGTAGTAAAAATTCAGCACTTTTTTTGGGCCACTGACCCTGCATCCAGTCCCACTGTTTGGCCTGTGCACACCCATCAACTCCACTGTTGTAATGACGGAATGGCACACATTGCTTCTTTTAAGTAACATCCTTCAGATACTTGGTGGCTTTTCAGATATGCATACCCTTTATGGCCTGGGCAGTTTCACGAGTGTTCTTAAAGTGAACATGAAGATTTGAACCTCTTGATTTTCATGATTTTGTGGCGTTTTCTGGGTTGAGTGAATAGCACACCATTTTTAGGGGTCAGCTCAGGCCTCTTACTGACAAAGCTGTACCATTTTCTTATTGAAACTCCTAGTACATATTAGTTGAACACAGTACTGAGAAAATAATTTTATATTTTATCTATTAAAGGATGTGCAGAAAAAGTCTTTTGAAGAGAAATATGAAGCTTTTGTGGAGATTTGCCAAAATTTTCAACCAGTTTTCCGTTACTTCTGCATGGAAAAATTCTTGGATCCTGCAGTGTGGTTTGAGAAACGATTGGCTTATACTCGGAGTGTGGCTACTTCTTCTATTGGTAATCTTCTTATATATTTTAGTAGATTCAGCACTTCCTACATTCTGTGTTACAGGGAGATGATGATGGTGATCGTGGTTTTTACCAAGCCACCATCATTAGATCATTGTATTTATTGTTGATCCTGATTCTTAGCTTCTAAATATAGCTCTTCTTATTTTGGCAGGAAAGAATTTCTTTTTTTCCAGGAAGAGAAATAAGACTGATTATTTTTCTTCTTTACTTTATAATGAATATGTCTTATTTTCTCTTCCCTCAAAGTATTATTTTCTGGGAGTTTCTTTGGAAAATAATAAAACATGATAATTCCATTTAAGTTATTTCCTTTAATTGTTACTGGTCTTTCGCATACAGCAAAAGATAACATTGCATACAGCAAAAAGCATAACACTATGATATTAACACCCAATGATTGATTCTGTTTAATAGGAATAGGAATAATGATATATATTTAAATATTCTGTGTACAATATATATTCTGACTTTTTAATTTCTAAGAGTTTGGAATTAACAGTTAATTAGCAGTTAACAACATCTTAGAGTATAGAAACTAACAGGAATACCAGTGATCTATTGTTTTTAATAAAAGAACACATCACTTAGATACAATATATCAGGAAGGCAGGACATGTATGTTTTGAAAATTTCTGGGTAATAATGAAGCCCTCTCTTTTTCTACATTGAGAATCATTAATCTGATTCTGCTCATTTAGTTTATGAACATTTAGTTTATGAAAGTAGGCCCAGTTAATGACAGAGCTAGCCATGCATCCCAGGCATCCTGACACTCTGTTCACTATTTTTTCTGTAACATATCTCACAGTGTTTTTCATTAGGTTAAAAACATTCCAAGGCATGCTATCATCTGTCTTAAAAATAGAAATGTAGTTTTTCCTGGATATATACCTGATTAAATGAATTAATGATTAATTTGTGTTAAATATAATTCATCAAGCAGAAGAAAGTTTCACTGAAGAATGAAGAACTTACCCATAGGCATCTCAATTTAAAAGTATACTTAATAAATATTTGAGTATATATAATGCACTGCTTTGGTAAATAATGGGTCTCAATTTTAACCACATTTATCTTTATAAGTACAAATATTTTAATATATGTACATATTAGTAAAGGGAAATTTATTTTTTTAATTTATTTTTAAATTTTTTTTAGTTGTGATACATGGACTCAGTTGCTCCACAGCATATGGCATATGGGATCTTCCCAGATCGGGGATTGAACTTGTGTCTTCTGCATTGGCAGGGAGATTTTTTACCGCTGAGCCAGCAGGGAAGCCAGCAGGGGAAATTTTTTTTGAACAAATCATCTAGGATTTGTAAAATGCAGTAAAAATTAAAATAGCTGGCAAGATTTGACTTAAACTGAGCATGGCCAAAAGGAAATGTACAAAATTTCCTTTAGTCAGCAAAAAAAGCCTAATAGTCAATAGTATTAGTTCAAATTATGGCTAATTGTGTTATAGAAATAGATGATATCAGTGACTTCAGGTGTTTTTTTTCTAGTTGGTTACATACTTGGACTTGGTGATAGACATGTACAGAATATCTTGATAAATGAGCAGTCAGCAGAACTTGTACATATAGATTTAGGTAAGTAACCAAAGATATATTTCTTTGTTCAGTAAATATTTGGTCATCAAGAAATTTTTGTTGTTGTTTGCCTACCAGGATTGCAAGTATGAAAGAGAGACGGATATATCAAAACAATAAATATTGTTTATTTTTTTTAAAAAAGCTTAAACACAGTGATACTGGAGGGAGCAGCTAATTCTGCTTCAGATAATGAGTGACATTTAAGCCAGGTCAAAGAGAAAGAAAGGATAATCTAGAGAGAAGATAGAGCAGATAATGAAGGGAAGGATACTGAAGATATAGCATGTTGTAGGAATGGTGAGAAATTAAGTGTGGCTGGAGTGAAGTTTGTATGTAGTTGAGAAGCTTGAGATATAGACTGGTTTATAAAAAGCCAGGCCAAGAAGTTTCAACTTAATCTTTTAAACAATGGAAAGTGAATGAAGATATATTTGATCAGGACATAATCCTGCTTATTGGAAAGACAATTTGGAGAACAGTATTAGCAGTAGGAATACAAGTTAGGGGAGATTATAATAGTTTAGACAAGAGATGATTTGGACTAAAGTTGTACAGACCAATGAGATTGGATTTTAGGGACATTTTTGTAATAATTTTGCACCAGTGATATAAGATGTGGAAACAGTGGGAGAGCGGACTCCAAGATAATTGAAGCTTCTAAATAAGGAAAACAGCAGGTTTTTTGGAAAATAAGAAACTGGTGAGCTTAGTTTTGTGCGTAGTTTTGAGGTATTAATGGCATTTCCAGGATAAGTAGCAGTTTAATATATAGGAAAGTAAAGATATTGAAAATAGTAAGAGATGTAGAACTTTAAGCAAGTAGATTACAGTTAGTCACTGGACTAGAGGAGGTTCTAATCTTATACATCATTCTTGATGAAGAGGACTAAGGATAGAATTGTAAGGAATACCAACATTCAAAAGTCTGAGTCTTGGATATTCCCCAGTGGTCCAGTGGTTAGGACTCAGTGCTCTCACTGCCCAGGGTCCAGGATCATTTCCTGGTTGGGGAACAAAGATCCCACAAGCTGCACAGCCTGGCCCAAAAGAAAGAAGGGGAAGAAAAAGGCTGAGTCAGAAAAAAAATGAGGAATAACCAGCAAGTAATAGAATCATAGAAACTAGAAGTAGGGCTCTCTTGGTAGCCAAGAAAGAATAAATTTTCATGGAGGAAGAAGCACTGTGCTCAGTAGTATCTGATGCAGAAAGGTCAAATAAGATGAATGCTGAAAATAGGCCTTTGAACTTAATTAATCAGTCTTAGTAAACTTTGGATAGAATGGAGGGAGTGAGGTTGTGAAAAGGCAAGGATTGAACGGAAGTTTGGAAGTTAAGGACATGTAGGCTAATAATATGTAACTGTTCTGCAAGTTTAGAAGTAAGAGAAGAATGAAGAGAAATTTGCTACAGAGATGGGAGGTACTTATTTGGTCCCCCCACCCACCCACCCATTTTTGGGATTTTGAGGTGTTTTTGTTCTTATTCACTTGCTCTCTTTCTTTTTTTGGCCACACTGCATGGCTTGTAGGACCTTAATTCTCTGACCAGAGACCAAACCTGGGCCCTTGGCAGTGAGTGTGTGGGGTCCTAACCACTGAACTGCCAGAGAACTCGCTCATTTGCTTTCTTAAGTAATGGGAGGTACTTATAGGAGAGAGTCAAAGATAATTAAAATAGCAAGGGAAATCGTAAAGTATGAGTGTGGAGAGTTGGCTTTATACTGGAAGCATGTAGAAGAAGAAACGATGAACACATTATCATTAGGAAAGTCTTTAGCCAGAGGGGAAAGAATTTGAGAAATTATATTTGCTATTCCATTTTCTCTGAGAACTGAAAAACATGTTTATTTGCTAAGAATTGGTGGGATGGTAATTGACCCTAAAAGAACAATAAAAATTTTTAAATGGGTACTGTGGAAATGAGACCATGAATTGACTAGAAAAGGATATATAAGACTTGCCAAGTATTTTAACGGATGCTTTCCTAAGATAATAATCCTAAATTTGTAGTGTCATCATATGATTTCTTCCAGCAGTCCTCAGTATCCTTAGAGTTAAGTTCTTTTTTTTTTCCACTTATTTTTATTAGTTAGAGGCTAATTAATTTACAGTATTGTAGTGGTTTCTGTCATACATACATTGACATGAATCAGCCATGGATTTCCATGTGTTCCCCATCCCGATCCCCCCTCCCACCTCCCTCTCCATCCCATCCCTCTGGGTCTTCCCAGTGCACCAGCCCTGAGCACTTGTCTCATGCATCCAACCTGAGCTGGTGATCTGTTTCACCCTTGATAGTAAGCATTCCCACCAACAGTGTAAGAGGGTTCCCTTTTCTCCACACCCTCTCCAGCATTTATTGCTTGTAGACTTTTGGATAGCAGCCATTCTGACTGGTTAGAGTTAAGTTCTACTTTGAAATGGTAAGTACAGAGGAACAAAGAGCCAGGAAATTTTAAAATACTAGCAAGAGTAATCACCTTTTAGGGTATACCCTGAGCTGAGTAGGGAAAGAAGAGAGACTAATAAACTAGAAATCTTGATGAGTTTGAAGATTATTTAATAAGAATAAAGGGGTAGAAGGAGAAGAGGTTTTGATTAGAATGTAGAATTTAAGATTACTTAGGAAGTACTGTTTTAGGAGAAGATAAGTTTTATAGTCCAGATGTTCCAGCTAGATTTAGAAAAGGCAGAGGAACAAGAAATCAAATTGCCAACATCCATTGGGTCACAGAAAAAGCAAGAGAATTCCATAAAAATATCTACTTCTGCTTCATTGACTATGATAAAAGCCTTTTACTGTGTGGATCACAACAAACTGGAAAATTTTTAAAGAGATGGGAATACAAGACCACCTTACCTGCCTCCTGAGAAATCTGTATGCAGGTCAAGAAGCAACAGTTAGAACCGGACATGGGACAATGGACTGGTTCCTAATTGGGAAAGGAGTACGTCAAGGCTGTATATTGTCACCCTGCTTATTTAACTTATAGACAGAGTACATCATGGAAAATGCCAGGTTGGATGAAGCACAAGCTGAAATCCAGATTGCTGGGAGAAATATCAATAACCTCAGATATCCAGATGACACCACCCTTATGGCAGAAACTGAAGAGGAACTAAAGAGCCTCTTGAAAGTGAAAGAGAAGAGTGAAAAAACTGGCTTAAAACTCAGCATTCAAAAAATGAAGATTATGGCATCCAGTCCCATCACTTCATACTAAATAGATGGGGAAACAATGGAAACAGTGACAGACTTCATTTTCTTGGGCTCCAAAATCACTGCAGATGGTGACTGCAGCCATGAAATTAAAAGATGCTTGCTCCTTGGAAGAAAAGCTTTGACCAACCTAGACAGCATATTAAAAAACAGAGACGTTACTTTGCCAGCAAAGGTCCATCTGGTCAAAGCTATGGTTTTTCCAGTTCTCACATCTCCAGGATGTGAGAGTTGGACCATAAAGAAAGCTGAGTGCTGAAGAATTGATGTTTTTGAACTGTTGTGTTAGAGAAGACTCTTGAAAGTCCCTTAGACTGCAAGGAGATCAAACCAGTCAATCTAAAGGAAATCAACCCTGAATATTCATTGGAAGGACTGATGCTGAAGCTCCAATACTTTGGCCACCTGATACAAAGAGCTGACTCATTGGAAAATACCCTGATGCTGGGAAAGATTGAAGGCAGGAGGAGAAGGGGACGACAAAGGATGAGATGGTTGGATGGCACCACTGACTCGATGGACATAAGTCTGAGCCAAGCTCCGGCAGTTGGTGATGGGCAGGGAAGCCTGGCGTGCTGCAATCCATGGCATCGCAGAGAGTTGACACAACTGAACTGAACTGAACTGAAGTTTTATGTATAAGTTTTTGCTTAGCGGTTTTCTAAGAGAGAGTAAAACTGAATTTCATTAGAACAGATAAGTTCAAGGATATTTTTATGATTTTCCCCAGAACGAATTCCAGAGTTAGGACACAGAGGAAGATCGTGAGCTAGATCCATGTCAACGCTCAATGAATTTGAGAGTAATTCTTAGAAGCTGGGGGATAGTAAATATGAGAATGAATGGAGTTGTTAGAGCCTGAATGTGGGAATTCAGTAGAGGAGTGAAATTTTGCATGAGAATGAAAGAACAGTGGTCTGGAAGGGACAGAGTAGAGATAGTAGTATGCCAACCTATGTTCAGGCTGTGCTAAAGGCATCTATAAATGAGAAAGGTAAATTGGCATAGCTACTTTGTGATACTGTTCAGCATTATCTGCTAAAGCTGGGAGTTGTGACCCAGCAATTCCACTGCAGTAGAAATGCACACCATGTATATAAGAACATTCATAGTAGTACTATTCATAATACCCCAGACTGGAAATAGCCCTAACCCCCATCACAAATAGAGTGAATGAATAGTCTATAACCATACCATCCTGAATGCATCCAGTCTTGTCTGATCTTGAAAGCTAAGCAGGTTTGGGCCTGGTTAGTACGAAAATGGACGAATGAATTTTATTGTATTCATAAAATGAAATACTATATAATAATGAGATTGAATGAACTATAGCCACACACTACATGGAAAACTCACAAATACAATATTAAGTGAAAGAATCTAGATACAAAAGAATATATACTGTATAATACTTATAAAATTAATCTACAGTATTAGAAGTCAGGATGGTGGTAACCCTTTGAAGAGGTGGTTCATGATTGTTAGGGAGATGGGGTGGGTCTTCTGGAATGCTGGTTACATAGGTTTGTTTTGTAAAATCTCAAATCCATACACTTGATTGACTTTGTTAATTGATTCACTTTTCTGTGTGTCTCTCTTTGACTATCCATTGCTGCGTAAGAAACCACCCTATATTTAGTAGCTTAAAACTGCTATTATTATCTCTCATCACCTATGGGTTGACTGGACTCAGCTGGACAGTTCTCACTTAGGATCTTTCATACTATTGTAGTCAGAACCTGGGGCTGAATTTGCCTTAGGGTTAAACTGTGCCAGTGTCTATGATGGCTTCTTACACATTTGATGCTTCATTGCTCCTCCATGTAGCCTCTCTGTATAGCAAGTAACCTGAACTTTTTGTGTGTGTGTGATTAAAAGTACATTAGTTTATTTTTTTTTAAAGTAGCTCCCCTAAGATTTGTTCATCTTTGCCTGAGGTCTTTTTTTTTTTTTTAATTGAAGGATAATTACCTTACAGTGTTACATTGGTTTCTACCAAACATTAACGTGAATCATCCATATAACCTGAATTTCTTATAACATATCTCAGGGCTCCAAGAGGAAGGAAGTGGAAGTTAAGGGCTAGCATGCAACTGGCACAGTGTCACTTCTGCTATATTCTAAATCATAATAATGTCATAGTACCCATCCACATTCTCCCCTCTCTTTCTGGGACTCCAATAACAATATATTAGACCATCGCACTGTAACATATATTCTGTTTACCTCCTTGTCTATATTTTTCAAACCTTGTTTTTCCTCTAACTCACCCATGGTGTCAGTGGAAACCATGCAGGAAACCTGGACTTCCAGTCTCACCCAGAGAAGGAACCCCCTCTCCTCTTGGATGTCAGAGGAGGCCAAGTGAGGAATCTGGCCTTCTATCATCACTTAGCAGTTACTTCTGTGTGGTTATTTCAAAAGCCAGCAAAAGCAGAAGTATAAATCCAGAGTCTCATTATGTAATATACAAAAAGGTCGATTTCAATTGAAAATCATTGCTCAGGAAAATCATAGTTTGAATGAGAAACAATGAATATCAGCACTAAGATGACAAAGGATTATCTGAAAAAGATTTTAAAGCAGCCATCATAAAAATGCTTCAAGGAGCAATTGCAGACATGTTTAAAACATATGAAAAGGTAATAAGTCTCAGCGTGGAAGCAGTCTCAGCATAAAAATAGGACATATGAAAGAACCAGGTGGAAATTTTAGAACAGTAAAATGCAATACTTAAAATTTTAAAACTCAGTGGTTAAGCTCAAGAAGCAGAAGAAAGGATCAGTGAACATGAAGACAGAAGAGTAGAAGAGTAGAAATCATCCAGTATGACAACAGAGAAAGAAAAGGAGAAAATCTTCAGCAACTTGGACTAGACAAAGAGTCCTTAGACTTGACACCTAAAGCATAGCCCCTAAGAACTCTCAAACTTGACCAGTATAAACAAAACAAAAACAGTTATTAAATGGGTAAAAGGCATGAATAGACATTTCATCAAAGAAGATACACAGTAAATTCAGCACACAAAAGGATACTTACCTATACCACAAATTATAGCAGATTTCTTCATAATAGCCCCAAATTGGAAGCAATCCAGATGTCCTTTAAATGGGCAAATGCTTAAGCAAAATGGTACATCTGTACCATGGAATACAACTCAGTATAGATGACAGTTTGGATAATTCTCTTGAGAATTACACTGAGTGAAAAACCAATCCCAAAAGGTTAATTACTGTTTAACTCCATTTATATAACATGCATGAAATTATAAAATTATAAAAATGGAAAACAGATCAGCGATTACTGGAAGAAGAGATAGTAAATAGATGTGCCTAATATAGCATAAGCTAATATAGCAGAGCCCAAAGAATTGATGCTTTCAAACTGTGGTGCTGAAGAATACTCTTGAGAGTCCCTTGGACAGCAAGGAGATCAAACCAGTCAATCTTAAAGAAAGTTAACCCTGAATATTCATTGGAAGGACAGATGCTAAAGCTGAAGTTCTGATACTTTGGCCTCGTGATACGAACAACTGACTCATTGGAAAAGACCCTGATGTTGGGAAACATTGAAGGCAGAAGGAGAAGGGGGTGGCAGAGGATGAGATGGTTGGATGTCATCATCAATTCAATGGACATGAACTTAGGCAAACTCTGGGTGATGGTGAGGGACAGGGAAGCCTAGTGTGCTGCAGTCCATGGGGTCATGAAGAGTCAGACAGCTTGGTGACTGAACAACAATAATATAGCATGAGAGATCCTTATAGTGATGGAAATATTCTATATCTTAATTGTATCAGTGTCAACATCCTGATTGTAATATTGTACTATAGTTTTTTGCAAGATGTTACTATTGGGGGAAAATGGGTAAAAGATATATATACGTATCTTCTGCATTTTAAATTCTACCCTTCACTACCTTATTCTTAAAAGTCACCCTTTAATATAGATTTCTCTGATTGTATGTTAATAAATAATTTTTTAACTTGTTTTTTAAAATTTGAGGTTGATTTTTCTGAAGCATGTTGAAGATAAAGAAGGCAGGCAGAGCATAGAATAAATGACTGTGTGTTCTAGTACTGATTGACTATTGGTGATTAATTATTTGCTGCCTCTGCAAAGTTCACAGGCCAGTTTAGAGGAAGGTAAATTAGCTATATGACCTCCTAACCTCACTATATTTTTTAATTTAGGAGTTGCTTTTGAACAGGGCAAAATCCTTCCTACTCCTGAAACAGTTCCTTTTAGACTTACCAGAGATATTGTGGATGGGATGGGCATTACTGGTGTTGAAGGTGTTTTCAGAAGGTAAGCCAAATAAGGTAAGGTAGGGTAGATGATTTTTGGTGTCAAAATTATTCAGATTATTGATTTCTAAAGATTGTAGAATGCATTGCTAGAATTACATTCCAGTGCTTTACTGCTACTAAGGAAAAGACTATGGGTAGAAACAGTAATTTCCCCTTCCTTCAAATGACCTAGGATGTCACTCAATATAATACAAATACTGTTCTCCCTTACTGCCTCTGAAAACAGCCTGCCTTTACTTTTCACACCTCTGTCTTAGCTAAATCTTTTTTTTTTTTTCTTTTGATCAGAACTTCTATTGGGTGCTCATTCTTAGGTGCATAATTTATCTTAAAGAAGTTTATGGTCTGATACCAATTCCTGCCAACTTTACAGTTCCCTGTAGCTTTCCCAGCATAGGTCTACATACTCAGTATTCTTTCTTTAGTCTACACCCTCAACTTTTAACTTGACAGATTCTAGTGAAAGTAAACTATTGATTACCATAATAATCAACTGAAAGAAATGTTTCATAGTAGTACTATGTTATTCTTATAAATGCTAAGCTTATATTCACATACCTATTTATATTCTTTTCAGAAACATCTACTGCAAACTCACTCTACCAAGCACTGTGCTCTTTGAGATGTTAGTTTGGGAATTATTAACAAAAATAGTTTCAGCACACTAGACAGGAATATATAGGAGATAAAGATATGTTGAAAATGTTGGTGTAAAATTCATATTTACAATGTGTTTGTAGATGCTGTGAGAAAACCATGGAGGTAATGAGAAATTCTAAGGAAACGCTGTTAACCATTGTAGAGGTAAAGTATATTATAAGGAAATTTTTATTTCTCTGCCTAATAGACTGCTATCTTGTCAGGAGGGCACTAATTTGAGGTTCAGTTCTTTGTTTTAAAGATGTGGGATGATACTGGCAGCAGGAGAGTTAATAGTAGTTTAGAAATGCCTTCAGTCCCCTCAGGTTTCTTGGAATGTACAGCTATGAGTAACCTCTAGTCTTCAATACATACATATCACTGACAACTTAGTTATCTTCTATGGTATTATTTCCAGAATGGTTTATTTTGGAGTTTTAAGAGAAATCAGTAAATTTTATCTCCTTTCCCTGCCCAGGTTCATAACCATGTAGTGAGACAGATGGAGATCAGAGTGTCAGCACTGTTACTTCAGGAACACGACCGAGGAGTGAGGGCCAATCTGGCTTGCTCCTGGCGCCACCTCAGTGCCTCTCTAATTTCTGAGCCTGGGGACAGCCCACTGAGTGGGGTTTGGGCCTACAGTGTCTAAACACTCCATCAGGGTTGCTGCTTCATGTTGATCAGGGCATAAAGGAAAGGAAGTCCAGCGAATTTCCAGTACTTACGACATTAATTCTACCCAAGTGAGAATTGAGTACCTGAGGCAGTCCTTTTCTTTCCTAGTACAGGGTATGGGGGGCAAGAGACCAGGAGAGTATCTCCACAGAGAAGCTTGGAAGTAGAATTGTTTTAAACAACACTTGTTGACCAAATTTGAAAGTCTAGGGATGAAACAAGAACACTTGTATTTTATAAAAACTCTCCTACTGGCAGCCAAGGTTGAGAATCTCTGTTAATTCTCTGGCATTAACCATTAAACCTGTGATCAACAATGGGTGGAACTATATGCCAACGAGGGTGAAATTAATAGTCTTTTAGGGTGGTCCTGTGTCTGCAACCTTTATAAACCAAAGTCTTCTTTATAGATCTTTCAACTGCTGGTGGCAATATAGATTTTTGGTACAAAGAGGGTTAAAATAGGTCCCAGTGCTATGTTGATAAAATTAATTCCAAGGATGTGCTGTTCTCAAGGCTGGAAAAGCTTTCCTTTTTCCCATATTATGTTTATACACGATATCATTTATTACAGTTTGCCATTGGTTCTGCAGCAAGAATAAATGATAACAGGGATGTGTCAATAATGTAGAAGTCAAGATCTAAAATTAAATTATCTTGCTTTTTTGCATTTAAGCCAAAGAAATTTAATATATTCCCCAGTATTTTATTCTGCTCAGTCTCAGTCAAAAGGTTTTTTGTGCCTGAGTAGATTTAGGGGTTCCTTAGGTATTTGAATCCTGAGTTACCACTTGGTGGAAGAGGGTAATTTCCTCAGTGCCTCAGAAGTTTTACTGGTTGAGTGCCAAATTGCTCAGGAACCTCATTGTTTAAAGAGTAGCAGAATATAAAATTAGATAGGTAAGAGTGGACAGATTATCTAGGGGTTCCTACATGAGTGTGCGTACGTTAGATTTAGTGAGTAAGATGGAAACTGTTGGGGAGTTTCAGACTTGAGAAGTGATCTGAATCTCCACCTGCAATAACTGCAATAATAAGCTTTATAAGCTTTGTGTAATTTACACTGATCTGCCTACTCTTTCCTCTATAAATCTGTCTGAATTTCCTCAAATTATTTGGTGTGGCTGTCCCAGTCTTCAAGAGTAGTTTCCCAATTGACCTCACTATGGACTACGTATCTTCAGCTTGATCAGGGTACTGCTCAAGAGTTTTGCTGCATCCCAGTCCTCTGGAATGTTATTTTAGTCTACTCTTCTGTCATTATGTTTGCAAATTATTTTGGTATTCAAATACTGCTCCATATATAGATTTCAGAATGCCAACCATAGCACTAGACCTTTGGTTCTGAGGAGTTTTCAATAATTATACTTTTTTTCTCCTACCCAAATTTGGAACTGAGTGAAAAAGAAAGAACCTTAAGAATAATATATAGAAGATGGCAGAGGAATAGGACAGGGAGATAGATCACTTTCTCCCCCACAAATACATCAAAGATCATTTGAATGTGGAGCAACTTCCATAAAACAACTTCTGAACACTCGTGGAGGACACCAAACACCCAGAAAGGCAACCTAAAAGGAGACAGAACAAAAGATAAAAGACAAAAAGAGAGACAAAGGATTTAGGGGCAGAGACCTGTCCTGGGGAGGGAGTTGTGAAGGAGAAGATTCCACACAATAACAGGAGGGATCAGTGGGGAGCTTTGGAATCTCAGAGGGCAACATGACCAGAAAATAAAACACCAAGAATACGCACCTAACTGCAGTTACCACAGAGAAATGGTTCAGATGCTTGTGTCTGCCTGCAGCAAGTAGGGGCTGGGCATGAAGGTGTGGGCTGGGTGTGGGCTGCATCATTGGTCCTTATGATAAAGATTGGTCTTGAATGGCCTGAGGACAATCTGAGGGGACTCAAGGGGCATAGCAACCCTAACCATGGGAATGCCAGATAGACAAAAAAAAAACAAATGGACCTTTCCTGCAGGAAGGCTATAACTGGCATGCTCACAGAACAAAGGGTGGTGCCCTAGAGAATACCAAAGGAGAGCAGGCCCGCTGCTGTTTACGACCCTCTCTTCCTGGAGGCAGGGAGGCAGGAGTGTGACAGCCAGAGGCAGAAGGCAAGGGGCCAATGCAATCTCGGCTCCGAGATCACATCTCCCGCTAAACTGTGAACAGGCTGCCAGTCACTAACCACATCTTGCTGGGATCCTGGACAGATCACATCGGCCTGGAGTGTCACAACCTGAGACCAATTTTCCAGAAGAGACACATAGCACACCCGGGACTGCGCCCTGGTGGTGCACCTGGGAAACCAGGCGGCCAGGACCGGGCGGGTGCATAAGATCATGGCCTACCTGGGACGTTGTGCTGATTGAGCGCCTGGTCACCTGAGCAGCTTGGACCTGGGAAGTCCTCAAAACGCAGGGTCCGCTTGGGACAGTGCCCTCGCAGAGCACCTGGGAGCCTGAGCAGTGTGGGCCCGGGAAGTGCATGCTGGTTTGGGCTGCAGCAGACACAGTGTGGTCCACCCACTGCAAGGACTCCCCACACATACCCACATATCAGCCAGTTTTGTTTGCACTGTCCCTTCCTCTCCACAGCACAACTGAGTGAGTGAGCGTGAATAAGTGGTCACCTTCACCTCCTCGTGTCACGGCAGAGATTAGACACTGAAGAGACTTGCAAACAGAGGAAGCCAAGATAAGCAAAGAAGCCCTGTGGGTGGAGAAATCTCGAGGCTACTAAGAGGGGAACCAAAACCCAAAGGCAGGAGGCTCAACTCCAGAACTTTAGACCATCATAGAACTCCTGATGCCAGGGAATGTTAATAGACAAAAGCCCACCCAAAAGTTTCCATACCTACACTGAAATCAAGTTCCACCCAAGAGCCAGCAAATTCCAGTGTGAGACACCTGATGCTAATTCTCTAACAAAACAGGAATACAACCCTGAACATTAGGAGTCAGGCTGCCCAAAGCCATACCAAACCCATAGACATCACAAAACTCACTACTGAACACTTAATTGCACTCCAGAGAGAAGAGATCCACCTCCATCCACCAGAGCACAGACACAAGTTTCCCCAACCAGGAAACCCTGACAAGCCACTGGTCCAGCCCCACCACAGGGAGCAGACACCACAATTAAGAGGAGCCACGACCTTCCAGCCTACAGAAAGGGAACCCCAATCAGCAATCTAAACAAAATAAAAAGGCAGAGAAATACCCAGCAGGTGGAGGAACATGATAAAAACCCACCAAATCAAACCAAAGAGGAGGAGATAGGGAGTCTGCCTCAAAAAGAATTCAGAATAATGATAGCAAAGATGATCCAAAATCTTGAAAGCAAAAGGAGTTACAGATAAATAGACTGGAGACATGGATTGAGAAGATGCAAGGAATGTTTAACAAGAATCTAGAAGAAATAAAAGAGTCACTCAATAATGAACAGTGCAATAACTGAGATTAAAAACACTATGGAGGGAACCAACAGTACAGTAACTGAGACAGAAGGAAAGGATAAGTGAGGTGTAAGATAGAATGGTGGAAATAAATGAAGCTGAGTGGAAAAAAGAATAAAAGGAAATGAGGACAACCTCAGAGACCTTTGGGACAATGTTAAACACCCCAGCATTCAAATCAGAGGTATCCCAGAGGAAGAAGACTAAAAGAAAGGGCATGAGAAAATACTTAAGGAGATAATAGTCTCCCTAAAATGGGGAAGGAAATAGCCACCCAAGTCCAAGAAACCCAGAGAGTCCCAAGCAGGATAAACCCAAGGCAAAAAACCTCAAAACACATGTTAATCAAACTAACAAAAATTAAACACAAAGAGCAAATATTAAAAACAGCAAGGGAAAAGCAACAAGTGAAATACAAAGGGATCCCCATTTGTATAACTGCTGGTCTTTCAGTAGAAACTCTTCAGGATAGAAGGACATACTTAAGTGCCCACGCTCACCACCAGTATTGAACATAGTTTTGGAAGTCCTAGCCACAGCAATCAGAGAAGAAAAAGAAATAAAAGGAATCCAGATTGGAAAAGAAGTAAAACTCTCACAGATGACATGATCCTCAACATAGAAAAACCTAAAGATGCCACCAGAAAATTACCAGAGCTGATCAATGAATATAGTAAAGTTGCAGGATATAAAATTAATATACAGAAATCCTTTGCATTCCTATATGCTCGCAATGAAAAATCAGAAAAATAAATTAAGGAAACAATCCCAATCACCATTGCAATGAGAAGAGTAAAATACTTAGGAATAAATTTACCTAAAGAAATAAAAGACCTATATATAGAAAACTATAAAACACTGATGAAAGAAATGAAAGATCACACAAATAGATGGAGAAATATACTATGTCTGTGGATTGGAAGAATCAGTATGGTGAAAATGAATATACTACTGAAAGCAATCTATAGATTCAACACAATCCCCATCAAATTGCCGACAGTATCATTCACAGAACCAGGACAGATCATTTCACAGTTTTTATCGAAACATACAAAACCTCACATAACCAAAGCAATCTAGAGCAAAAAGAATGGAGCTGGAGGAATCAACCTTCCTGACTTCAGACTCTACTACAAAGCCACAGTCATCAAGACAGTATGGCACTGGCTTTGTGTCAGAAGCACAGATCAGTGGAGCAGAATAGAAAGTCCAGAGATAAATCCACACACCTATGGACACCTTATCTTTGACAAAAGAGGCAAAAATACACAATGGAGAAAAGACAGTCTCTTCAATAAGTGATGCTGGGAAAACTGGTCAACCACATTTAAAAGAATAAAACTAGAACACTTTCTAACACCACACACAGAAATAAACTCAAAAATGGATTTAAAGACTTAAATGTAACACCCTAGAGTATAAAATTCTTGGAGGAAAACAGGCAGAAGACTCTCTGACATGAATCACCTCAAGATCCTCTCTGATCCACCTCCTAGAATAGTGGAAATAAAAACAAAAATAAACAAGTGGGACCTAATTAAGCTTAAAAGTTTCTGCACAACGATGGAAATGATGAGCATGGTGAAAAGACAACCTTCAGAATGGGAGAAAATAATAGCAAATGAAGCAACTGACAAAGAATTAATCTCCAAAGTATACAAGCAGCTCATGAAGCTCAACACCAGAAAAATGAACAACCCAATCAAAAAGTAGGTGAGAAAACTGAACAGACATTTCTCCAAAGAAGACATACAGATGGCTAATAAACACATGAAGAGACGCTCAAGATCACTCATTATTAGGGAAATGTAAATCAAAACCACAATTATGTATCATCTCATGCTGGTCAAAATGGCCATTATCAAAAAGTCTACAAATAAATGCTGTAGAGGATGTGGGGAAAAGAGAACCCTCTTATACTGTTGGTGGGAATGCAAACTTGTACCTCCACTATGGAGAACGGTGTGGCGATTCCTTAAAAAACTGGGAATAGAACTGCCATATGACCCAGCAATCCCACTGCTGGGCAGAAACCCCAAGGGAAACAGAATTGAAAGATACACATATACCCCACTCTTCATTGCAGCACTATTTTACAATAGCTAGGACATGGAAGCAGCCTAGATGTCCATCGGCAGATGAGTGGATGAGGAAGTTGTGGTCCATATACACAGTGGAATATTACTTAGCTATAAAAAGGAATGCAGTCGAGTCAGTTCTAATGAGATGGATGAAAGTGGAGCCTATTATATGAATGAAGTTGAAGCAGAAAGAGAAACACAGATACTGTATATTAATGCATATACACACACACACACACATATATATATGGAATTTGGAAACACAGTAATGATAATCCCACATGCAGGACAGCAAGAGACCAAATGTAAAAAACAGACTTTTGGACTCTCTGGGAGAAGGCAAGGGTGGAATGATTTGAGAGAATAGCATTGAAACATGTATATTACCATGTGTAAAACAGATGACCAGTGCAAGTTTGATGCATGAAGCAGGACATCCAAAGTCAGTGCTCTCTCTGGGCCAACCCAGAGGGCTAGGGTGTGGAGGGAGATGGGAAAAGGGTTCATGATAGGGAGACTCAATTATACCTGTGGGTGATTCATGTTGATGTATGGCAGAAACCATCATAATATTGTAATTATCCTCCAATTAAAATAAAAATTTTTTAAAAAAGAGTATAGTCTGAACTTAAAGAATAGCTTTATAGTGTAGAAATATAATAAATTAGATTAAATAATATTTTAAAAAGTAAGAGATCAGAATGTCTGGTTTATCACTGATGTAACTGTTAGAGAATATGGCTTAGGAGTAAGGTCCAAATAGACTTGCTTCTGCTGTCCACCGTCCACAACCTAATCTGTCCCTTAGTCCAGCCCACTTGGAGAATTGGGGCCCACAAGCAAATGTTCTTACCTAGGACCACACTCATCAAGAGGTAAGAGAGAAGGAAAGAACATGACTAGTGCTTATGTCCTTTTAATTGATTAGTTTCAGTCAGGAACCACGGGTCAGACAATGTCAGCCCCCAGTTGGGAGGAAGAATGGATTCAGATGGGAGGAGAAGCCCAGAGCATCATGTTAGTGCAGTTTTCTCCACAAGGAAGCATGAAGCACATGTGATAAGTTTGCCCCTCCATCCCAGTTACTGCCATGTGATTGGTCTCTATTATAATACTGGTCAAAGTGCGCATTGTTCTTCTAATGCATATGTTCTCTATCTAGGTCCTCCTATATGATCCTCTCTTTGACTGGACCATGAATCCTTTAAAAGCTTTATATTTACAACAGAGGCCAGATGATGAAAGTGAGCTCCACTCCACTCCAAATGCAGATGACCAGGAATGCAAACGAAATCTCAGGTGAGCAGGATCTGTTGACAGTTGTTCTGATTCTCCTGTTCCCAAGATCCTTTAAACTGTTCCACCTCATTAAAACTTTTGTGTTTTTGTCATCAGTGGTATTGACCAGAGTTTCAATAAAGTAGCTGAACGTGTCTTGATGAGACTGCAAGAGAAACTGAAAGGAGTAGAGGAGGGAACCGTGCTCAGCATTGGTGGACAGGTGAATTTGCTCATACAGCAGGCCATGGACCCGAAAAATCTCAGCCGACTTTTCCCAGGATGGAAAGCTTGGGTGTGATATTAAGCATGTGATTGCCTTGGAGTCAGCCTTTATAAATTGTATTTTGGCCTTCATTGTTAACCCACCCACATACTTTGAATAAGTATTAATATTGAACTAAGTGAATTACTGTTGTTTTTTAAAAAATGTTTAACACTTGCTTCAATTCCCTAAAGTTGTACTAGTCTCAAGCAACAGTTTTCTCACACTTTAGACATAACTGTCAATCATGCTGTAATTCTAGGCTAAATATTTGTTTTTTCTTCTCAAGTACATACTTGTATCACTTTCAGTAGAATCACTGAATCAGTAAAATTACTCTTATCATCAGAAGAAATAAATACACTGCTAACTTTGATGTAGCTTTTAATTAAAACTTGTTTCTCAGATATTATATATGAATGATAAAGTAATTAATATTAGTCTATAAAAGGAGGGAAAAACTTTAAAATTGTAACCATCTATATACTATGGTAAGTAAATATGTTGGATTTTCAATAGTAAGGTCACTCAGTGCTGCTCAATAATGAAGGTGTTATGATATGATATGGAGAACAAATTTCACAGATACAATATGGTTACTTTTTTTTTTAGAAATGTTTATTAGACTTTCTCATTCTATTCTCTTTATCTTTTAAGCCCTCTGTGTTTCCAGTACTTTATCTTTCTATAATGCCTTCATATCTGTCTTCTAGTTCATGAATTCTCTTGTCACTATATAATCTCCTTTTTAAATTATTCATTGGATTTCTCCTTTTAAAATTTGTTATTCATTTCTAGGTATGTTTCAGATTTGCCTATTATTTGTTTCATGATGTCCAGTTTTTTGGTTTTGTTTTTTTAACTTTAGGTTCTGTTTGTATTTATTGGGTCTTTGGTGGACTGTTTATCCATGTATTCTGTGATTTTATAAGGTGAGCTTATTTTCAGTAGGACCTCGTGGGAATCTTGAGTGACCTGGGTTAAGAATAATTCCTTCCAGAAAATTTTCATGTCTGGTTATGTCATAGTTCCAGGGCTGTCCCTGACAGAGGACTACTCTTTAATTTCTTGGCTTCAGGGTTTCCTGACCTGATGGGAACCATGCAGTTACTGAGAGAAGACTAGCAGGCCAAAACAGACATTTTTCCTCATTGCCTCCCTGTGCTAGGGGGCTGGTGTGAACCTGCGTGTCTCCCAGCTGTACTGTGGACACAAGGGGAGGTGCATCTGCTATTGCCCACTGTCCTTTCAAAGTCCTCTCACAGATGTCATAGCTGAAATTCATAGATGAGTGTAATTGGCAAGTTTGCTCTGGTTTTTAGTTTCCTTCTGAAACTGAAAATTTTTGACCATAAGAATTTCCTTTCTTATAACTTCTGCTATGCATTTAAAAAGCACTTATTGTATCTCAGCTAGCATTTCTGTGTGTTTTGTTGGAGGGGAGGGGTTTAGGTATCAAGTTTGATATATGGTTAGAAACGGAACCTTTCTGTCCTCATACTGTCATTAGACAAACAGGTAAAACTAGTGACTTGTCTGTTGGTGAATATAGTCCTTCATCCTTAGGAAACTGTTCGTGTCTGCAGAGATTAAGAAATGGGTGGTTGAACTTTCTTTTTATTTGTAGCTTAGGTGGTTATGTAAGCAGTTTTTTCTAATGACAGGTTGGTATTTGTTTCTGTTGCCAGTGTCAGGTTCTCACTCATCTGATCTCTCCACCTTCTCTTCTCTCCAAAAACAATCTCCAGAACTTTATGTACTATAAATTTCTTAGTTTAGTTTCTAGAAAACTGTTTTTAAATTTTCTATTTTACATTTCAAATTATAAGCTTATTGTGATATATATTTTTTCTTATAAATCTCCTAAATGAATATTTAATACATATTGGTAGTTTTATTACCATAGTGAATCAAGGGAATACAGTAAACTTAGAATGTCTTTAAGAAAGCCTTGAAAAGTAAAAATATTTTTAAAAATTAGAAAAAAAAAACACCTTGAAATATTGATGGGTGGAGTAAGAAATGATCAGCTAGATGATAGTATAAGTAAGTGAATTCATCACTGATTCTTACTAATTGATGTATCCAGATAGTTTTGAGTAACATTATTAATCTGCTCTTCAGCCTTGAATGATATGCTGTAAAACTGTCTTAATCAGGCTATGAAAAGCTTGCCATATAACAACCAGAGGGAATAGCTAATTCACAGGTGATAGAATTAAGATTTTAAAGATTATCACATCTGGAACACTATTTGGAAATGAATAAGATAGAAATTTACTGGCAATAAATAAGGAGTGGTTAAATTTCTTAAATATTTATAATAGAATATTTATTGTATGCTGAGTACCTGACATACCTTATATGTGCATCTTTTGCAAGATTAGTGATATTATCTCAGCTTACAGCTGGGGAAATAAAGTAGCTTGCCCAAGACCCAAATATAATAAACTGAAGAAGGTACAGGTTTAATATGGACAGTCTTTAACGTGGAAATCTTTCAAGTGAAAAGAATTTAGCCTTCACCAGTCACTTGCTCATAAGGTCACTGGAAACCAAGGAGAGAAGCTACTAGGAAAGCAAATAAACGATAGCCTTGACAGTTGTGTTCAGATTAAGGGAGTCCTGTTCACTAATCTCTGTGTTGATCATACCACCCCAAAGTATCTTCCTAATTAGTAGGTAAAATAAATCCATGGTCATTATAGTATATACTTAAATATATACACTTAGAAATGGCTAAAAATTTAAATATGGCCTAAAGCAAATAAACACAAAGAGGACAATTTTTGGTCTTTTTAAAGATTAAAGTAGGCTAGTCTTTAAATACCTAGAAGCTAGTATACTGGCTTGAAATATGGACATATGTGCCACATTAAGTATTTTAATTGCATCTTGATGAAATTATATATTTTATGTAGATTTATTTCAGTACTGTTGAATGTATATCTTTATTATTCTGTTCAGTTCAGTTCAGTCACTCAATCATGTCAAACTCTTTGCAACCCCATGGACTGCCGTGCGCCAGACTTCCCTGTCCATCACCAACTCCCGGAGCTTACTCATATGCCCATTGAGTCGGTGATGGCATCCAACCATCTCACCATCTGTCATCCCCTCCTCCTCCTACCTTCAATCATTCCCAGCATCAGGGTCTTTTCCAATGAGTCAGTTCTTCACATCAGATGGCCAAAGTATTGGAATTTCAGCGTCAGCATCAGTCCTTCCAATGAATATTCAGGACTGATTTCCTTTAGGATGGACTGGTTGGATCTTCTTGCAGTTCAAGGAACTCTCAAGAGTCTTCTCCAACACCGCAGTTCAAAAGCATCAATTCTTCAGCGCTCAGGTTTCTTTATAGTCCAACTCTCACATACATACATGACTGCTGGGAAAAACCAAAGCTTTGACTAGATGGACCTTTGTTGGCAAAGTAATGTCTCTGTTTTTTAATATGCTGTCTAGGTTGGTCATAACTTTTCTTCCAAGGAGCAAGCATCTTTTGATTTCATGGCTGCAGTTATTCTGTTACTTGTTTTAAAATAAATCTTTAAAAAAGGATATGCTGACTCATTCATTGTATTCAAATATTTTGAGTGTTTTGTGTGCCAAGCATGGTGCTGCTTCATAGGGGGACAACAGTTAGCTGCTGCTGCTGCTGCTGCTAAGTCGCTTCAGTCATGTCCAACTCTGTGCGACCCCATAAATGGCAGCCCAACAGGCTTCTCTGTCCCCGGGATTCTCTGCGCAAGAACACTGGAGTGGGTTGCCGTTGCCTTCTCCAGTGCATGAAAGTGAAAAGTGAAAGTGAAGTCACTCAGTCGTGTCCAACTCTTACTGACCCCATGGACTGCCAGGCCCCTCTGTCCATGGGATTCTCCAGAAAAGAGTACTAGAGTAGGGTGCCATTGCCTCCTCCGCAACAGTAAGCTAGAAGGGCATAACCATCCCTGTAGAACTCATCAGTTCAGTTCAGTCACTCAGTCGTGTCCGACTCTTTGCGACCCCATGGATTGCAGCATGCCAGGCCTCCCTGTCGATCACCAGCTCCCGAAGTTTACTCAAACTCATGTCCATCGAGCCGGTGATGCCATCCAGCCATCTCATCCTCTGTCATCCCCTTCTCCTCCTGCCCCCAATCCCTCCCAGCATCAGGGTCTTTTCCAATGAGTCAACTCTTTGCATGAGGTGGCCAAAGTATTGCAGTTTCAGCTTCAGCATCAGTCCTTCCAATGAACACCCAGGACTGATCTCCTTAGTCTGGAGTATATAGGCAGTTTACAGTGAACTGGGAAGTCTGCTACATGGAAACAGACCAGTATGGTGTATCTCATTCTAAATAATCTAGTAGTTTTTCTTGATTACCTTGTGACAGAAAGCCAAATGAATGCTCTTTTTTGGGGAGCAGAGGCCAGAGAGCAATATAGTTGACATTTCTAGAGTCTATAAGAAATATACTGGAATAAGACAGACACAAAGATCCTGATACTGTAAATGTGAAGTTTGCATTCTGCATATTTATCATTTTTTAAAAATCAGTAACTTCGGTCTTCTCTTGGAGTTTCAAGCTCCTTTGTCCAGTTTCTGAAAAAGTGAATTTTGCATAAATATAGTACAAAGTTTTCACAGAGATTAGACTCTGAATTTGATGAATAATGTAAAAACCTAATGAAAATTATTCCCTGAAAAATCACTTACTTTTCCCATGAGGTACAGCATGTATAATTTTTTTTAACATACAGCAGTATATAAAAGTACATACTTTTACACTAATGTACAATGTGTAATTCTAAAGCAGTAGTTCTCGGGGGGTTATTTTACTTCCCCACTGCCCCACGTTTAGCAACATCTGAAGACATTTTTTGTTGTCACTAACATGGTGAGAACATGAAACACTGACACATCGTGTTAAAAGTGTAAGGTTAGTACATATTTCCAAACCAGGGAAGAAATGGTCATAATGTGGCTTGTAGATCTTGGCTTGCATGTGTGTGTTCATAGCTGGTCACCTATTAATGTGATTTGCTATTTTTTTTAAGTTGTAAAATAGATGAAACATAAAATTTACCATCTTGACCATTTTTAAGTGTACAGTTCAGTAGCAGTATAGTACATTCATACTGTAGTCCAGCCAATCTGCAGCACACGTTTCACCTTGCAAAACTGAAGTTCTGTACACATCCACAGCTCCCCATGCTCCCCTCCACCCAAGCCTTGGCAACCATCATTCTATATTCTGTCTGTCTGAATCTCACTGTGCTTGCTGCCTCCTGTAAGCATTTGTCTTTTTGTGACTGAATTATTTCATTGGTTTATTATTTCTCATCATTAATAAGGTTCATCCCTGTTGCTATATATCATTTCCTTTTTTAAAGACTGAAAAATATTCCATGGTATGTATAGATCACATTTTTGTCTATCTGTTTATCTGTTTATAAACATTTGAGTTACTTTCCTCTTTTTACTATTGTGAATAATGCTGCTGTTGAACAGGGGTGTACAAATATCTCTTTAAGACTCTGTTTTTAATCCTCTTGGATATGTACCTAGAATTGAAATTACTGGATCATATGGTCCTTCCATTTTGAATTTTTTGATGGAAACACCATGCTGTTTTTCCATAGTGGTCAAAGTATTTTACATTCCTACAAACAGTGCCCAAGGGTTTTGATTTCTCCACATCCCCACAAACACCTGTTATTTTCTGTTTTTTTTGTTCCAACTGTAGCCATCTTAATGCATGTAGAGGCTTCCCTGGTGGCTCAGAGGTTAAAGCATCTGCCTCCAATGCGGGAGACCTGGGTTTGATCCCTGGGTTGGGAAGATCCCCTGGAGAAGGAAATGGCAACCCACTCCAGTATTCTTGTCTGGAGAATCCCATGAACGGAGGAGCCTGGTAGGCTACAGTCCACGGGGTCGCAAAGAGTTGCACACAACTGAGCAACTTCACTTAATGCATGTAGAAGTCATTCTTGGAAGAAAAAAACATTGTATACTTTTTACAAATCCAGTGACTTATTGCAAGGAACTACCAGTTTTAAGAGGAAAACAATTGTCCGTTGACAGTTCTGAAAACCTGGTTCTGTTTTGCTTAATGTTAGGTTATATGAAAACCACAACAAAATGTTGCCTAGTATTAGAATAGTCACTGTAGATTTATAATTCTTTGTAAATATCTAATATTTCTTGAGTGCCAAAAAATTGATGCTTTTGACCTGTGGTGTTAGAGAAGACACTTGAGAGTCTCTTGGACTGCAAGGAGATCCAACCAGTCCATCCTGAAGGAGATAAGTCCTGGGTGTTCATTGGAAGGACTGATACTGAAGCTGAAACTCCTGTACTTTGGCCACCTCATGCGAAGAGTTGACTCATTGGAAAAGACCCTGATGCTGGGAGGGATTGGGGACAGGAGGAGAAGGGGACAACAGAGGAGGAGATGGATGGATGGCATCACTGACTTGATGGGCATGAGTTTGAGTAAACTCTGGGAGTTTGTGATGGACAGGGAGGCCTGGCATGCTGCGATCCATGGGGTCGCAAAGAGTCGGACACTACTGAGCAACTGAACTGAACTGAACTGAACTGAATATTTCTTACTGCTTAAGCAGTATTTAAAAATTTTATCCATGACTGTGAAGAGTTGGAAGAATTTTAAGAGAGAAAATGGTAATCAGTCAGCTGGTTGCAGATTTTTTTTGTTTTGTTATTTTTTTAATTGAAATATTTTTTATGTACAGTATTATGTTAGCTTCAGGTGTACTCGATGGTGATTTGATATTTGTGTACCTTATTAAATCACTTCCATAAGTCTGATAACCATCTATCCCTATATAAGGTTATTATAGTATTATTGATCATGTTTTTTATGCTGTATATTATATCCCCCAGGCTTATTTATTTTATAACTGGAGGTTTGTACCTCTTAATTTCACTTCGCAAATTTTGCCCCCTACACTGTCTACCCTCTGACAACACAT